CAGTTGACCCTCTACAATGAAATCTTCTAATTTTTAGCCCTACAATGGAATCAGACACTGAGATTGGCAACTTCTTAACGCATGATGATATTATAATATAAAAAAGCCTTTTTTTCTTATTTTATTTTTTTTCTTATACTTTTCGGGAAACTATGCAAAGGATTGTTTGTTTTTTAATCCTTTTTGTACTCGGTTCGGAACCCTATTAAGATCTGTTTTTTTTAAAAACGTGTATGTTTGATTAACACAGCGTTGTCAAGGAAAATCCATGGATTTTTAAGAAAAATCCCTAAAAATGACTATGTACCCCCCCCCTAGCAGCCACATCTTTTGACATAGAGAGCTCAAATTTGATACACTTATGTATTTTAAGTGAAAATTACAGGAAACATATAGCGAACTTGATTGGGATTGATTTATATGCGTTGTCAAGGAAAAATCAAAAATTTCGAAAAAAAAGCGTTTAATCTCCCTAGCGCACACAATATTCAACCCAGACAGTTCATATTTAGTATACAAATGTATTTTAACGTGAAAAATGTAGGGAAAAAAACCGGTCACGATTGGAGTTGACGATTAACTTTTTATCAAATTTTTCAAAAAAAATGACAATTTTAGGGAAAAAATGTATTTTTTCACCAAAAACGAAGAAAATTTTATAAATAAAGGAATTCAAATTGATATATTTTGACGTATTTTTACGTGTAGATTACAAAAAAAAATATAGCGAGGACGATTAAAGTTGATGGTCCTGGTGCTGTCAGGAAAGAACTGATAATAATAGAAAAAATCATGAATTTTCTTCCAAAAACGAAGAAAATTTTATCTAAAGGGCTTTTACAAATGCACAGGACTCTAGGGAGGAAGAATGGTATCGAGCAAGTACCGGGGTAAAGACTTCATAAATAGTTCCTACAGTTTTCACGTAGAATTCATGTAGAAATGTTTCAAAGTTTAAATTAAATTTAACTTGAACCAGTTCTGGTAAAAAAATGTACAATTTCGGCACCAGAATTTTGAACCAGTTCTTGTATCATAACTTGTACAAAATCTAGCACAAGATCTTGTAAAAAAATTATATTTGTACAAGAAAATTTACATGTTTTCGTTTATATTCTGTAACATAGTTACAGTCTTTCCCTTATAAGATACTATAGTTTCCCTTATTCTGTTCATCTTACGTCAGTAAAGTCTTTTGCGTCTTGGCTTGGTTCATCGCATTTTATTCAAATGTAATTGCTTTGCGTTCGCAGAGAGTGAAAGACGTGTCGCCTAAAATAAAACCGTCGTTTTAAAGTGTGAGTGGAAAATTAGTTTAAAAACCACTTTGCTAACTTTTATGTGCTGTGCACCAGTGAACTTATTATTTAAATAAAGGATTAGCTGACACCAATGTGAGTTGATGATACAATCATTTAATATTAATTGAATTCAATAATAGAATATAATTATAAATTACTTCTTTCCTGACATTCAATCCTTTTCCTTAATTAATTTATTGGTAAACGGGCCACCAATACTATAATTCTTGTGTAGGTTCATATACATGTTCATTTATGTCCTCGTCTAGAAAAAAATGAAAGGCTGTGCAGTAGTTTTCTTAAGCCTTCACAGCTGCGTAATAATTTTTAGCATGAATAAATTAAGTCCAAGGTCCAAGTTAGTTATTTAAAAAGAATTTGATAATTTAATTTGCAGTTTTAAGTGGTTATTTTTTCTGAATCATATTATTTAATTTAATTCTAAGTTACTCGAGTCAAGGCAAGAAAACGGATCGAAACTACGAATCCGAAATCAAGACCATAATTTTCGAAACCGAGAATTTTAATATTTAACGAGACCAATACGATACTATGTGAAATCTCATCTCATCTCGTGGGCAAAACTAATACTCAGTTTTAATTTTTTTGAAACGTGTAATGTAAATAATAAATCCATTTACATGGAAAACATATACATTGAAAAGAAGTACTCATCTTTAATTTTTATTATGATTAGGGCGTAAATGCGAGGTGGATGATTTTACCCCAAATTCTAAAAAGTCGACATTCTAAATGGTCGATATATTAAATGATCGAAATTTAAAATGCTTCAAGCTGTAGATGGTCGATACTCTAAATGTTTGAAATTTTGAACGGTAGGAATTCCAAATGGTCGAACTTTTATTTGATCGAAACTCCAAATAGTCGACATTTTAAATAGTAGACACTTTTTTAGTGAAAGAGTACTCTTTCACCGCAAAAAGAAATACGCGTTTTCAAGAATTTTTTTGAAGAAAGGAAATTTGTTCAATAAAATTAAAGTGCATAACGTTATTATGCAATTAAACTACAAAAAAAATATTTAGAATACAATTGGCGATTCAAACAGCTACACTAGCGCCACAGTTGAACTAATTTAGGCGTGACTCGCTCTGTAGCACTCCATGTGTTTTAAATTATTTTTTTTTATTTAACGCTTAAAAATAATTTTACAAACGCAATAAAAATATCAGAATAATTAAATAATTTGAAATAAACTGTCAAAACAGAGACTGCTTTAGAGCGAGTCACGCCTAAATTAGTTCAACTGTGGCGCTAGTGTAGCTGTTTGAATCGCCAATTTTTCAATGCCATTTTGTGAAAAAAGCATATTATTAAAAATGGCTACGTATTTCTTCAGATTTTGGGTTACAGAAACTAATGCTTTTTGGTTTTTTATTTTAGCTCAAAACCGTATTTTAATTTTATTAAAAAAATTTCCTTTCTTCATAAAAAAATTCTTGAGAAAGCGTATTTTTTCATGCGGTCAAAGTGGTGTAACCCCTTAAGGTGACTCACCATCTTTATTTTGAACCCTTTAAATTTTAATGATCGCATGGGTTTTCGAAAATTTTATAATAAAAAATACAAATTATAAACTGGTAAAAAATTATAAGATTTTTTTACCACTTTATTGTGTGTTTTTAGGACATAAATTATGCAATAAAAAAATATAATACTATCCCAGATAGCACCAAAGTTTGCTTCTTATTCACTTTTTGTAAAGTTCGGTGCTATCTAGGATATGAGATCATTGAAATTTAAAACGGTAAAAATAAAGGTGGTGACTCCTATTAAATAAAATTACTTTAGGGTAGTTTGACTATTAATATGTTTACAACACGAAACAAGAAACTTATTAAGTACTCTATTGAAAATTCCTACCTGGGATCCTATATGGGAATCCGCATATTGGGACACAATATGGAGTATGATTTCATGTGGAAATTTACGATTTCGTTTCCACACAGAAATGTATGTGGATATCTACATTATTTCCGACAATTTTTCTGGAATATTATTTTTGTCAATTACTTACGTCAATTTCCTTCATAATTACCCACATCAAATCTTACAAAAAATATCATATGAAATTGTAAAGATTTCCTTATATAAAATCGTACATGAAAGTATTAATAAAGGAAACCATGTATAAGATTTCATAATTCTTACATATGATTTTACATGGACTAGAACATATTGGAAATAATATGGGAATTCATGTAGATTCTGAAATATGAACCTAACATTTCACATGAATTTATGTAAAGGAAACAATAAGGTTATTCAAGTTGGGTGTGGGAAAGCCAAGATGGATGATGGCTGGTGCACAAACATGAATGCTGATAGGCTGAATAGGCCGGATGTTTGTGCACCAGCCATCATCCATCTTGGCTTTCCCACACCCAACTTGAATAACCTTATACCTATAGGATTTCATGTGGGATCTTATGTAGGAAATTACATGGGTTTCAATAAAGATATAGATCATCATAGTTTCACATTTACAGCGCCAGTTAATGAAAATTTTCCCTCCCAAAGTTAAGATCAGTCTTCCAACAAACCTAACCAACCAACCTAAACTGAGTCTTGAATACTATAAGAGCTGAGACTCTAACTCTGAAAATGTATTGCAAAGCATAATTTCTTTTTTATTTTTATATGAATTACAGCCAACTGAAAATTCCCACATGAAATCCTATATTGTTTCCTTTACATAAATTCATGTGAAATGTTAATTCATATTTCAGAATCTTCATGAAGTCCCACATGATTTCTGTTCATGTCGAGGTAAAATCATATGTAAGAATCCACATGAGATTCCTTGATGATAATAATTTCAGCATGCTGGAAACCATGTAAAATCACACAGAAGTTCTTTGCAGGATCCTTTGCAATAGTGCGTAGTAACCCACACAGAAACATGCGAGGGAACTCAAAAAGGTATTCGACATAGGATCCTATGTGTGATCATTAGCAGGAATTTTCAATAGAGTCTTTTTTTAAAAGTAGGGTATGTTAACATCTAAATCGGAAGAAAATTCTTGTACATAAAAGATCAGACCTAAGAGTTCGTAAAAGAACATTAACAATATTTTATACGTAAACTGGGTTATGAATAGCACAAGATCAACAAGTAAAACGACAAATTCTAATTCCTTGTACTAATCATGACGAAGTTCATATATAAAATATTGACAATGGTCTTATAGAAGCTTTTTCGTATATGATATTTTTTTAAGATCATGAACAAAGATTTTCAACCAAAAAACTTTATGTTTGTGGATAACATTTCATAATTGAATTAGCATATAGTTAGGGATTTACATACAGTCATGAATTTTTTAATAAACATTTAATTAAATATAAAGTTATTCGATATAAAAGAAATTCTTTAAGTAATAATTCCTATTCAATATTTATGAAAAATACAAATTCCTGTCCATAGTAGGATAATACACGTGAGATATTTTGAACAACGAATACTTAATGTTTCGTAAAAAAAACAGTGACAACGCTTTTTGTTTAAAAAAACAAGAAACAACCAATTTTACTTTAAAAATACTTAAAAGAATAATGGAAATAAAACAAAAGATATTTTAAAATTATGTTGCATATAAATTAATAAGAATAATTTTATCAAGTTCATAATTGTATGTAAATCATTAAATAAAACTGAATTGTAATTCGACCACTTACCTTGTTATTTACAAGTCTGAATAAGGCATTTAGTTCTAATCTTGCTCTATCGCAGAGAAGGAGAATATTTTCCCTGTGTTCGTGAGTTGTATAAGCACTATCGGTAAAATCCTGAGTTCTTTCTACAACTGTTTCAAGGGAACTTATTAATGTGTCTCTATAATTTGGTCCCAAAAGTGACTTTCTACATTTTTCAATAAATTTTTCAAAATGATTTAAAGCAGAAAAAACAGTACTACTATCCCAGTCTTCTTGTTGTGGACTCTGAAAATAATTTATATAGTTTTTAAATAATTTATATTGTTTTTAAATAATATATATTATTTTTGTTTCGTTAATGAATGATTTGCTACATTTTCATGATATATATGTGAATCTTTTTCAATTATTCAAAAGTTTTTAGAGTTTAAAAAAAATTGCTGGATTAATTCCTTCCAGAGAATAATAAAAGAAGGTACGTTTCAAAATGAGAGTGAGGGTACAGTCCCACGTCGGTGCGAATAAAGAATGCAAAACAGAAAACCATAAGTGCAGAAGAGATAGAAAAATATAGCTATCTTTTTCACTCTCATGATTTTTTTCTTTGCATTCTGTATTCGCGCCATCATGGAACTGAACCCTGATGTATGGTACACGGATAGCTCTAAAATATAATGCGGTACAGGTTCAGATATATTCCAAAAATTTGAATGCATTAAAGTTAAAGTTAATGACTTTATAGAAATCTATGTAGGTTTCTATGCAGGAACACTTCTATAGGACAAACATATGTTATTCTATAGGGTTATTATATAGAATCCTATAGGAATTCTATGAGATAACATAGTTATCCCATAGAAGGGTTCCTATAAAGAATCCTAAAAGTATTCACGTGGCATCCTTACAAAATTCCTTGTAGGGACCTATATAAGATTTTCCAATAGGGAGAGTTCATCCAGTGAACTAAATATCTTGGACAGAGAGTGGTTCAAGACATTAATATTGACCCGAAACCGAAGGTAGACTTTATGTCGAGCACGGTTAATGTAGGGTATCTGGTTAGATCGACATTTATTGAGCTAATACAGGACAATAGATAACTTTCTAAATCACAGATAAAAGCGATGAGTTCTGTTCAAAAGCAATTCATATTAAATGTGAATATTATGTATAATAGGTACCTCAGGATTTGAATATGACTCATTGCATTCAATAACTCCATCTTTGACAACATAATGTATTAAGTCCATTGCTCTTCTCATTTGACAAAAAACTGTATCTCTATTTTCTTTTGCAGATGGACAATCTGGATGCCTTAAACATGCTTTACTCGAAGTAAGCAGCATCATTGTACTTCTTTCTAAAACCTGTCGTGCAGCTGCCATTTGTGCTCTTCGTCTCTCATCTTTAAGATCATTCTGCAATTATTTTTTTTAAATTCATTAGATATAAATATATAATTACAAACAAAAAATTAATATTTTTTTACAACAATAATAATCTAAAACAACATAAATTAATGTTAACTGCGGTACTGTTTTTGAATTAGATTACATTTATAAGATAATATAGTATGAATAAGTATCTTTTAGAAATTAATTTTGAATTAAAATCGTTCAAAAGGGTCAACTTATGTTACAATTAAATTTCGTACCTGTCGATCACCAGTTAAATGAGCGAGTTCCACCATTTCTGCACCAAATTGGCTAAAAGCTTTAACGAACTCTGTAAAATTTGAAACACTTTCTAGTCGACCTAGACTGCGTGCAACTTTATCTTTTGCCAGCAAAAGTTGTTTAACTACAACAATATCGGCCAGTAGAAGAACTCTTGTTACTGATACAAGAAGACATCTGGCTGCACGAACTACTGCCCCTCTGTCGTCAACATTATCCTCCATAGCACATTCACATAACTTTTCAATTGCAGAGCCTAAAATTATTAATCGCAAAATAGATTCAAGAATGATTTAATAGGAAATTTTGAATTAAGCAGAGGAGCAAAGGAAGTCAATGGAGTTCAGGTTTTAATTCATTCTGTGTAATAAAGCTTTGGTTTTAATGATCACACTTATCTAATTATTAATTGATATGAGTAATATATTTTTTAATTGCCTATTATAATTATTGAAAATATTTTACCTGCGACTCTAGCTTCTTTACAAGCTTCGTACATGCCTTGATTAATTTCTGGATTATCATCTGCAATTGTTTCTCCCACCGTGACAAATCGATCTACTGCTAAATTAACAGCTTGTCCAACCCTTGCAACTGCCCTCAAGTTTTGGTCAGAACACAATGAATATTCTCCTTGCGACATTAACGCAGAAATCTAGAAAATGTTATATATAGCGTTATATTATTGCGACCAACGCACAATAGCTTCGCAATAACTATTTACGAACTAGATGCATATGAGACAGAAAAGAACACAAATCTATCTCTGTTCTTTTCTAACTCATGCTTCATGTTTGCAAAGGTATTTTGCTTAGGTCAATTCTGTGGTTGAAAGGCATAACAGCACAACTGCATTTGTCACGATTTTGAGAAAAATGAGTTTTAATATTCATTTAGCTCTGTCAAAACAGAAAATCAACGGATGTGTTTGGTATTCAGCATTTAGTCTCATTATTTAATATATTTTTAAAATACGTTTATCACATTTTATAAAACGCATGAATTCATATGAAATTTAATATATTCTTAGTCAAATTGAAAGTTTTTTTGCAGTTATGTGTTTATGCTGTTAAAGTTTAAATATGTAACCAACTTCACTCTATTTTTCATGTCATAATAAATTGTCAAAATGGATTTAATAGCGACGTACGAATCTGAGTCTGAAACAAATATATCTGAAGGAGATGATTATAATCAAGGCAAAAGAATACAATTATTATTTATGTTTATTGTATCTATGAAAAAAATCAAACGAATATTTTTTAAAAATAGGTTATAAAATTGGTTAGGTTTTATGTTTACATTTCCGTAATTTCTCAAATTTAATATTTTTTGTGAAGATATCGAGAAGAATGAAGATACCTGTGATTCAAAAGAATTAATGAAAAGAGAAAATCGAAAAATTAGTCAAACTAATAAAAAATTTATTTTTTCTGAAATTTCTTATTATAAGATAAAAATAAGTAATAAATAAATAAATAATATTTTTATTTTAAAATATTACTTTAATTTTGTAGATTACGTCAATTGTTTTTTTATTCTGAATGCAGTTATGCGCTTATGCCTATCGCCTATTGCCAAAAGTGCAGTTATGCGAATAGGTTTTTATCATCATTTTCTACTTAAATAGTTACATAAATGATTTTTCAACTATGAATCTTTGGAAAGCATTACTAAATGTACTAGAACTGGTGTTATCTCAAATTTGATAAAAATGTCAGTTATGCTGTTATGCCTTTCAACCACAGAATTATACCATCCAAATTATGTACACTAAAAACTCGGAAAGTTTGAAGTAATTTGCAATAAAGGTGTTTCATCACAATGGGAAGTTAAATATTCGATTGAGAATCTACTTATTTATTCTTTTTACATATGAGCCAGAAAAGGAACTTTTCTTACATACAATCAAAAATTAGAGTTTCAAAGAAAATAAAAACCATCCTAGACAAAAATGTAATTTTACAAATTTTAAAATCGGTAAAAGAATGTACATGGGCATATCTATAGAACCTTTAAACTTTTAGGTATTATAGAAAACTTAATTTTCTTTTAAGGCACATTCTTGAAATTAATTTTATTATCTTCTATAGGTAGGTATTGATCAAATAATAGAAAAAACCTTGCATACCTCTTTTTTACACATTGTTAAGCTGTATTAGGTAACATAATAGTGTCAAATATACGTAAAATTATTGAATGAAGTTCGCAAAATGTAAAGTCCATATTTTAAAATTCAGAATGGTGGATCAAATATAGAGGACAAAATTTTTAAAAAAATTTGATTTTCATAAAATTTGGTATTTGTGGGTTTTTGATGTCACTGACTTTTAGCAAAATTTGTAGCATTAGTTAAATTTTAGACTACAACTAACTAGGAATTAACTAACAATTTTTTTAAATATTTCGTTCACCATATTGTTTTCGTTTCAAAAATTTTTGAAACTGACTTCAAAGTCGTAATCAGTGACCTTAAAAACTCCCGCAGATATAAGAAGTTTCAAGCAAAATGATTCAATTTTTTTATTAATATATCCCGACATATTGGACTTGTCATTTGAAATTTTTTTAAATTAACTTCAGATTCGTAATCAATATGGCATAATAATCAATATGGTGGTTAATTTTTTTAAAAAAATTGTTATTTTTTTATAAAACTTGGTGTCTATTGGTCTCTTGGGTCGCTGATTACGAATCTAAAGTCAGATTTAGAAAATTTATTAAATGACGGAACCAATATGACAAATCAATTAAGAAAAATATATTGATTTTCTTGATATTTTTTATCTACAGAATTTTGAATAAACCTAATTTTACAAATTTGCAATGGCAGCATGAAATGCCCCTTTCGACTACACGTTCATCGTTGTTTGTCTTAAAATGAAATATCATCGTTACAATCCCTAAAGTATTCACGGAAATATTACCTTGCGAGGGGTTGACTTCCAAGCCTCGAACCCTCGATCATATAGTGTAAAAAGAATATGTGTATTTGTGTGTATAGTACTCAACCGTACTGGGAGACTGCGCCTAGACGCGCTCGACCAAGTGAGGCTATAAAGATTTATTAGGAAGTGTCATTTATAATGAATATATGATATATATATATTTTTTTTTTCATTCAGAAACGCCAGTTTCTAGACTGATTAAAATACTCTTATTCTTCAATAAATATATCCTTATTCAAATGTATATGCAAGATATGATAATTCTTATCAAATTGTCAGTGCGAGATAATTTCTATTCAAAGTTGTATGCAAAACAATACCTATTGAAATTAAAGTACAATATAAGACTAATTCAATATTCAGTTCAAGATAATTCCTTTTCAAAGTCATATGCAATCTAATTCCTTTCTAATATATATACTATATGCTTATACATATAAATAAAATCAGATTTTTATCTTTACATATTTTTATAACTGAAAAATTCGTGCTCTCTAAATCTGAATTAGTAAAAAAGTTTACTAATTTGAATTAGTGACTCACTTTTTGCTTCTCAATTAGTAAAATTTTACTAATTATAAGTAACTTTTACTAACAATTAGTAAAATTTAACTAATTCTAAAGCAAAAAGTGAGTCACTAATTTAAATTAGTAAACATTTTTACTAATTCAGATTTAGAGAGTGATAAATTATTTATTTCTATAGTTCTGAAGACGCAAAAAATGCAATGAAATAAAATTCTATAATGTCGTTCTGTAAAAGATTTTCTTCTCTTATCACTGCGAAAGATCTAAATTATAATTAATTTCCTGAACTGAAAACATTTACAATAAGGCTGAGATTGTTACAAACATTAGAAAGATGGAAAATATGTTGTGATAATTTACATTCAATTCCTCGATATCACTTTTTGTGAAAATTGATTAATTGTAAATAATTTTATGTCCGACATATTGGATACGCCATTTAGAATTTTTGAAATCTGACTTTTAGATTCGTAATCAACGACCCCAAAAACAATATCCAACATAATTATTATTTTAAATCAAATAACAAGTAATATGCAAAAAGAAACGAAAAATCAAATAATTTTAAAATAAAAATATAAATCGAAACCGGTATTAATTTTTATTAGGAATAGCAAAAATATAAAAATTATTTGTAAAACTGTCAAGATGTATTTTTTTCTTATTGATTTAAAAAGAGAAACGTGTATTTCATGAAAAACTGCCAACCATTAAAAAAATATTGGCACTCGTCACACATTTTGTCTCAATAATTTTTCACAGAAGGATCGTAAAAGATTTTCAAATAGGTCAATTGATGTGTTTTTAAAGTATCTATATACAATTCAATTGTGTCATATTAGAATTTACATAAAACGTACTTTATAAGTAAAACTACTAAAAATTCTTTTATTTTTTATTTTGTAATAAAAAATTAATATTTTTTCAATATTAGATCGTAAAAAACAATTTAAAAAACATTGTCAACAAACGTTTCATTACAAAATTCAAAAAGATGATTTTAATAATAATAAAATGGTCTCGATAAAAATACATCTATAATTTTCACTAATATGTCTTCTTCTATATGAGGAAGAAATTATTATTAATAGTTTAGTATTTAATTTTTAAATGATTTTATATAAGGATGATTTTGCGGTTGTTAAGCCACGTTTTTAAACCAAGGTTAGTTTAAATTATCGAGTCGAATAAGTAAATAAAAAATTTACAAAACTAAAAAGTTATAAAACAGCTATAAAATGTCAAATAAAGGTAATAAAAATAAAAATAATAATAATAATAATAATAATAATAATAATAATAATAATAATAATAATAATAATAGCTTTGAATATATTTGAATTATTTTTATTAAATTATTTGAAACACAACCTTAAAGTCCTTTACTTTGTACGACAAATATTATAAAAATCAATTATTTTAAAATAATTTTAGTAATCTTCAAATGAAAATGTACAATGCGCAATATTAACTCTAATTTTTTTGCACCCATTCAACTTTAAATGTCTAGAAATAAAATCCAATTTAATTAAAAGTAGAAATTGAATTTCAAAAATTTTTCAAAAAACAATCCGCCATATTGGCACCACCATTTTGAATCTCAGGAACCTTATTATTAGTTTTTAGGTCAAACCGATATTTAAAAAAAGAACATTGTCTGCCGTTTTAAATCAAACATATCTTAAGATTTTGAAAACTAATGTAAAATTTATGATTAAATATACCAAAAACTTTTACATATATACCAAGTGACAGGTAATTTTATTCAAATATTTTTATTTTATATTATTTTTGACATGGAAAAACTCTAGCACTCAAGTTATTAAATTAATAAATATAATTTAACACACTACATCTCAAAAAATTTTTAAGATGATGACCTACCTCTTGCCCAACTGACATACTTTCTTCATACATCTTTAGAGATTATATCCTTCTTCTGTAAGGTTTATATTTGGCAGTATCTACTGTACATCATCATTATTTTCTGTTTTACGATGAGTTGTAACATATTATAAAAATAAAATAAGAAAAAATTTGTAACTTATTTTCTCTACTAATGTTATTGATTTATGATTTAAAAGTGTCAATGATATAACAAAACTAGAAATGCAGATTATTCTATACTATTCGTCAAATATTACTCGTAAAAAATGTTTGTATTATGATTTTTCATTGTATTGCTTTACTTTATTATAATTATTATTATACTTTTTTTAATGTAAGTGTGTATCGAAAATTTTGCAAACACGTGTTTCTATCGTACACTCCTCTTTTAATAAGTAATCGTATTTTTTAAAATAAATTTAAGCAGTACAGTAATATTTAGAAACTGATATTGGTTTAAGAGTACAGGTGGCGGATAAGTCGCGTCATAAGCTGTAAATTTCTTTTAATTATAATAAACGGATATTCATAATATAAGTCACTTGCTAAAAAGCAATAAACACAGAAAATTTAGATTTATTAACTACTCAAATTAGAGTGATCCTAGTTTGTTAAATGCCTACAAGAAACTGGACTGAACGTGGGAGTTAAACGGGTGAATTCGGTGAGGCTGCTATGTGCGTGTATATCGCAGTAGGTGATATACGCAACGCGCACCCTCAGCAAGCAATCAATATTTCTAGAGCATACATAGATTTGACATCAGTATTAAGATTTGCAAAGAAAATACTCTCACCCATCGTAAAGAAATGTTACCCTAAAAATATTAATTTGCATGTAGGGCCATAAAATTTTTCTTTCATGTTTATAATATCGTACTAAACGTAAATGATATTGATGCAACATTATTTTTGATTTTCGCTTAAAGTTTCTTATCCTTTGATAAGCTTAAAATACTTATCATACGGGCAAATTGGATCTGTAGATTGCATGGTATTTTCACACTTTAAAATAAAGTTAAACATTTTTTATCTCATATATTATATTAAAAAGTACATCTTTTATGATAAAAATTCTTTTAAATTTTTAAATGCAAAATACATATTATGTTTAAAAATTATCTTCTTTACAGAAATAAACAAAAAATAAAAGCCAAAAATGAAAGTTCACCTTTTCTTCTTGTTTTTTCATTTGACTATGTTCAGAACGTTACATATACCAGCAGTCCATAACAAGTAGGTTCAACTTATTTAAAATCTTATCGTAAATGTATCATTTCGTAATTAATAATGAAGTTACTCATGTTAAAGTAAATATTATTATTGATAAAGAGGATAAAACTGATACAGGATCAAACGGAGTAATAAGTACGTTACACATTTATTTAAGCAATAATAAAGCAAAAAATCTTGTTTTATTTGCAAACAATAGCAAACAATGGTCCTCTACACTATCTTCTATGGAGAGTAGAATTATCTTTTAACAGGTCACACCAAATTTTCACCGGATATAAATTTTGGTATTGAAAAATCGAAATATACACTACCGTCGGAAATTGTCGGTACGATTAACGTGCGAGGAGTGGAAATTCGGTGCGGACTTTAAAGCAAGATATTTTAAGTTAAAAAAAAGTTAGAGGTTTCTAACTTAGATGGTTGGAAAGTTGATAAAATTCTGCTTCTGAATGTATATCAAGAAAATTTTTTTCTTTTTTTTTTTATTTATAACACCGAAAAGATTTCAAGAAAAAATTATGCAATTTTCGTACTTTCGTACTAATGTTTTTTGACTTTCGGCATAATCTAGAATAATGTATGGAAAAATTTGACAATTTTACAACATAATCTTTAAGATCTCAGCTTTAATTTGCATTTTTGAAACTTAAAAAATGTTTTGTAGTTCCCGAAATATGTTAAAAAATGTTCGAGCATGTTTTTCAACAAACCAGCAGCGAGGCGGCAAAAAGTTATGACCGATAGCTGAGTTGTGGAAAAACATGCTCGGACCTTTTTTAACATATTTCAGGAACTACAAAACATTTTTTAAGTTTCAAAAATGTAAATTAAAGCTGAGATCTTAAAGATTATGTTGTCAAATTGTCAAATTTTTCCATACATTATTCTAGATTATGCCGGAAGTCAAAAAACATTAGTACGAAAGTACGAAAATTGCATAATTTTTTCTTGAAATCTTTTCGGTGTTATAAATAAAAAAAAAAAGAAAAAAATTTTCTTGATATACATTCTGAAGCAGAATTTTATCAGCTTTCCAACCATCTAAGTTAGAAACCTCTAACTTTTTTCTAACTTAAAATATCTTGCTTTAAAGTCCGCACCGAATTTCCACTCCTCGCACGTTAATCGTACCGACAATTTCCGATGGTATTGTAGAAAGTCTAGGTACTATAAATGATGATTAATTCACGGAAAAAGTAAAAATCACGAAAGACAAATTAGCTCAGTCAAAATAGATTAGAGAAATATCTGTAACGGTTCGAAGAGTCGGAAAAATAAGTCTCAAACTTTAAGTCGACTAATTCAAACGATTCTATAACTAAAGTATCAAACTCAGAAGGTTCTAAATAGCTATACAATTGCAAAAACATGATTTGCCTCAATTGCGGAAAAACGGATCAAAGGGCGTCACGAGGCGCGGTTTTGTAAAAATAAACCTCAAATAGTTTTTTGTATTTGCCGGAAATTAGACTTAGTCGAGTTTGACGAGATATTATTATTAACGGAGAATAAAACTGAGTTTAATATAGATAAAATTAAAAATTTTGAAAGAGAACTGACTTCGAAAATCGACGTTGAAAATGCAATTTATTTGGAGGTTTTTAATGATTCGGTATTTTAAGTTGAAAGTGAAGACGAGGAAACTGAAAAGTTAATTTGTCAGCAATGGGGATATGATGCGAATCTTTCGGTTAATTTGTCGATATTAATCACCAGGGTTTGATAAGGAGAACAATGAAGAATAGACCGGTCTTCCGGAGAACTTCAAGAACCGTAAGTAACGGTTCGAATTCCGGTCAAAATAATTATTTTTGGCAACAATTTGGAACCAATGTCCAATTTTAGTGATTTAGAGATAGCGAGGAGGGAAATTGATCATTTCCATAATGAGTGTTACGAACCAAAGTGCCTTCTTTTATCAAGACAACTACAGTAAGGAAGATGATGGAAGCTGAAGTTCGTGAGTAAAACTTCAAGAGAAGACGAATTAATAATGATAAACACCCGTCACAAATTTTAACATTTTAACATTTTTTTTTACGGGCAAGCCGTTATATTAACACAGGGACACTGAGGTGGCTCCTTCTGTTCGAGTGGATCCTGTTCCTATGAAGAGAATTACATCTTTTAGGGAGGTGCTTGAAGAATTGAACGTCTCTAATTTGTTAGAGAGTAATAAATTCTTCTGACAAAAAAGGATGCAACGATGGTTAATAGGTCGACACAAACTTACTTCATCACTATTGGAAAACCACCGGGATGCATAAATTACCGTTCAAGGAAAGACCATTTTGTAGAATGCAATCTGCCATACCGACCAGAATTCTGCACAATTTATGGTGCGTAGGGTTTTGATATGGATGAGTGGCTAAAGCTTAATTATGCCACTTTTCCAACATGGGCTATTCCAGAGGATCATCGCTTCTTGGTTGAAGACGAAGGCGATTTAAGACGTCGAGTATAGGCCAAATTTGAAGACTCTAAGGACTATCCAAATCGTGTTCATAATTTCCTCATCCGGAAAAACGCATTGGCAAGTGTGGATGAGCTTGTTAATCTGGCAGCAAAACCAGCTAGAAAACTGTCTGAAGAAAAGCAAGTTAGGGCAATTCAGGCTCACTTTTCTACAAACTCAATTAGTTTGAAACAGATTATTATTATCATTAATTGTCATGGACTACCCCGGCAACAAGCGTGGACTTAAATAGAATAATTGAATCGTGAATTTTGCAAAGGGCTCAACTCTAAAAACCGTAAAAGTCATTTTCATACACAATTTTTCACCCTATTAATTTAACAAAGTTTTCCTAAATATTAAAAAGAATTTTGTCTAAAAAGTATCTACTAAAATTTTATTTCTAAATTTTTTGTTTAATTTCTAAAATATTTCAAATATTGTAGGAAAACAGTGAATGATAGCTATATATTTCTAATTAAAGATAAAAGTAATCCAACCTGAAAAAGTTCACCCGGATTTTTCAGAAGAAAATTCATAATGAAATTTGAAACAATCCGGACAGAAATCCGTGTGGAAATTTTTTCATCATTTAAACCTTAAGAGATATTTAAAAATGGACATCAAATTAGAATTCTAAGTCCCCGAAAATGTCTCATTTATCATTTTTAAAAAAATTACCTAACATATTTGATGCTTATTTAGAATGTAAAATATTCAAACGAAAATCCCGGTAAATATTTTCAGCTAGGATTAAAATAGCATTAAAAATGGTAACATTCAATAAATAATAAATCTAAAAAATGGAATTTCAGGACTACGTCGTGACAAATCAATTTAAATCTCTTACTTTAAAAATAACCAACATTGAAGTATTTCTACCTCAAGAGTAGAGATTGAAGTTTCTAATTTGTAGACATCCGAAATATAATACTGTATGAAAAATACTGGACAAAATATCTTAAATTCATTTCTTTCTTTTTTTCTTATTACTTTCGACCACTTTACCTCCCCATTTCGATACAAATTGCGGTACGTCGAACTTTCTTTGGCAGCCTTGATAGTTCATGTACCGTATCTTTCCAAATATTGGTCTTTCTTTCCAACCCTGATCATGAATTCCACAGATTGACCACATGCAACCTAAAAAATATCAAATAAATTTTTAAAGTTGATGTTTTATTTTCCTCCAATTGTAAATAACGTAATTTGTCAATTGACTTTTAAAACTAAAATAAATATGAACAAACCAACGTATCCATTAGGATCGCGACCATCCATGCTGTATTTATCATTTAAGTAAATAGACCATTTTAATGCAGACTCTGGAGTATCGGTCCACTCCAGAATTTTTTTGGCCCAATACATTCTTAAGAACCCATGCATTTTTCCTTCTTGCACTAACTGATTTTGAGCTGCATTCCACAGATCATCATGAGTCAAAGATTCTTCTAACTCTTTTAAGTCATACACGTATTCTCGTTTATCTTTCCTACGAAAAATAAAAATAAACTTGTAAAGCCGTCACAATTTAAGGATTTTAAGCGTGCGATATATTTATTTTACGTCATATCCTAAAAAGAGAATTAAGACACATTTTCCCTTCAACTAATTTAGTTCCAAATCGTAACTTCCATTTGTCTCAACTCTTCTTTTTGGATCTCAAAAAAAAAAAAAATTGTTTAACAATCTTACCGATGAATTTCAAGCGTATCTATCGCCCATTGATATGCACCTTTAATTGAATCATAATTTTCATTATAAAAGCAAAAGTTGTCTGACAACTCTCGTCGAACAATAGCTTCTTCCATAAATGCTTCTACTGATTCCTTATGGTCCTTTTTATATTTCTTCACTTCCAGTATACATCTTTGAACAGATATCATTCCGAAATGAAACCACGGGGATAAATTGCTAACAGCATCAACTACTGGATCATTTCGTTTAGAATTATAAATATTCAAACGATTTTTACAAAATGACTCAAGTTCCAAAATGCCATTTTCGTATCCTGGTTTTGCCCATAATATTTCATCTACAGTTTTATCTACTTTAACATTGTTTAATGCTGTTTTCCATTCGTTATTTTCCAACTTTTGTTTACTTGAATACGGATGCTTTATAACGGGTGGAAATGGTGTTAAAAACTCTTCTAACTTTGAGTTTATTTTATTTCGAATTGTGCGGGCTGAATATTCTTGCTTCTCCGAAGTCACCCAGCAAGGAACTATATTATGAGCGTCAACCTAATAATGAAGATAATTAGGTCTGATAAGAAATATAGCTAGATATAGTTCAGGACAAATAAAAATTTGGTTATTTAAAAATGAGACTAATTACCGTTTTTTTTTGTTAGAAATCTTTAATGTCTGCGCACGCGCACAAAAAAAAGTTTGTGAAATCTTGGAAAAAGTTAATGAAAGATTTTCAAACTTTGGGCCCGTCCAAAAGTGAACAACTAGTTTACGAAAGTTTCGCGAACTATTTTTTTCCGTGTAGGGACGCATGAATATTCCCTTCATTAGACTTGACGGAATTTTTGTGCTGCCAAATTAAAAATGATCGAATTTACATTCAGTAGAATTTTAAAAAAGAGATTTTATAATGAGCCCAATTTTAATAATTAAAAATTTCTATTAAACAAAATTCTCATTTTGTAGAATTTTTATTTAATTGAACTTAGATAAAGCAGATTTTCTAATATATAGAATTTTTAAATAACACAATTTCCATTTAACAAAATTGATATCTAGAAAAATTTTCATAATAAAGAATTTTTATTTATCAGAATTGTTCTTTTGTCGCATTTCTATTTATCCGAATATTCACTTAAAAAGTATTTTTATTAACGGAATTTCCAACTAAAAGAATTTCTATATAACAAAATTCTTATTTAAGAAAAGTTTTATTCAAGAAATTCTTGTTCAATCTAATTTTTATTTATAGAATTGTCATTTAACAGAAATTCTTCTTAGCTAAATTTTTAAGACAGCGAATTTCTATTTCACAGATACTTTATTTGAACTTTATAAGTGTTCTATCATTAGATAGAAATGTTAAAATGTCGAATTTCCATTTGATCGAACTTTCATATATCAGATTATCCACTTGGTATACCAGCGGGAGTTTTAAAATCAACCAATCACAATTTTCTTAATAATTTTTGATTGGTTGATTTTAAATCTGTGAAATAGAAATTCGCTGTCTTAAAAATTTAGCTAAGAAGAATTTCTGTTAAATGACAATTCTATAAATAAAAATTAGATTGAACAAGAATTTCTTGAATAAAACTTTTCTTAAATAAGAATTTTGTTATATAGAAATTGTTATATAGATTTGAGACCAGTAGGCTGCATGGCGCAAAACCAAAGATCTAACTTCAAACGCCTGTAACGCCACCATTTTGTAATATTTTTAAAATTTTTGAAATAATTAAAAAAATTATTGTACATAGCTCATATTATACACTTTAAGGTATGCTTTATTTCAATTCAATAAACTTTACCACTTTTTTGTAAATATATCTTGAAAAAATATGAGAGGCCTAAGCCACGAAACCCTAAAAACGTGTATTTACAGGAGTTTTCCCCCTTAATTGAGTTTTTTTCGAAAAATAAAAATTTTTAAAAAAAGGGAACTTTTTCCGTAAGTATTACAATTTTTGACCTAGAAAAATGAAATTCAGTATTCAATGTATTTTTACGATTAAAATACAATAAAATTATTGCAAGTTGAAAAAAATTGAGTTTTATAAATTTTTTTTCGAAAAAATTTTTCATAAAATTAAATTAGACAAGTGTGAGTGTAACATTACACTCGCACTGAAATCGAAGGTTCTTTACACGAAACGTACTTATTTGTTATAAAAGCAAATATTTAAAAAAATATAAGTTTTGTATATCAAATAATATAAGTGATACAAAAAGGAACAATTTTGTAAAATAATATTAGAAAATTGTTCCTCTTCGTAACACTTACATTATTTGATATACAAAACTTATAATATTTTTTAAACATTTGCTTTTATAACAAATAAATATATTTATAAATATATTTACCTGACAAAAAGGTACATCTTTGGGAAGTTTCATTTTCAAATCGTCGACCCAAAACATTGGCAATCTTAAAGGGAAAAAGTCAGTGATAACAGCTCCCATTTTATACTTTTGAACAAATTCCAAAATGACTGAATTAGGCTCACCATGTAAAAGGCTAAAGTTTATATTTAGAGATTTGCATTCCTCTTCAACATGTTGTAAATTTTTTAGAAGAAATTTATAATGACGAATAGTTGCGTCAAGAAACTTTGGTAAAATACAAAAACATACATGCAGAGGCACTTGATTTTTTAAAGCTATTTTCTGTGCAAAAAGAAATGCCCAGTTATCTGTAAAATTTATTAAAGTTTATAGAACTTTTTCTGATCCATTAATTGAGTATATTTAACAAGTAAAAACAGGAAACTCTAATAATAAAAATATATATATTTGTATACCCTGAACTCTGGCATCTCGAAACATCCAATAAAGTACTCCATCACAATCTTCAGCGACCTCATCTAGCTTTGTTAATATTCTGATTCTTTTCTTATTAAACTTAAAATCTATAACTGATTCTGCCGTCTGCAAACAAGTAATATATTTACTAATAATTAATTTTTTTTTTTGTTATTTTTCTTATTGAATTTTAATAATAGTTGGGACAAGTTTAAAAAGTTTTCCTACGTTTTCACGTTCTTCTTTTATTTTATCAATTAAGTCCAATGAGCGTGCTCTTTTTGTAGAATTTGATTTTTTCATTTTGGAATCTGTAATTAAAAATTATAAATTTTTTTCATAAAAAAATGCAATTTTTGAAACCAATATAGTCAATAAAATATCGAAATTCAAAAATATTGAATATTAAAATTGAATTCAAGGTCACACTTGGGAAATAACTTTTTTATTTACTCAAATAATTTTTTTCAGTGAAGGAAATTTAAAAACTATAATACACCGTTGGATAGATAATGTCCTCAGCTATAAGTTATATATATATTGATATATTTTTTTTCAGCTTTAAAGACAAATTTTTAAATCAATTTTCTGAAGTGATGTTTTATTGACAAAAAAAAAATTTGTACCTGCTGAAATCGCTTAAAAATGATTAAAAATCAAATAAACATTGAAGATTAATAGAATATTTATTTATTATAAACACTTAGAACATACAAATAAACAAAAAGATTAGTGCATTTTAATTAATTTCAGTGTTACAAATGTTGTAAATGAAATATACCTTTTTTTCTATTTAATTTACTGGACATTGTAACCAACGAATCAAAATCAATTTCAATTGCCTTTTTTTCTTCAGCAGATTTCTTTTTTTAACGCTTTTAATGAAATTTTAAAAATTTGTAAACGCAAAATGTCAAATCTACCACAGTGGTGTGAATTTAGTATCATTTTTGGATACAAAACAATCGACGATTATATACGGTCATTCATGGTAACCAAAGGTAGTCTACTGATAAAAATTTAAGCTATTTTAAATATCATTATAAAATTTTTCCTAACCGTTGAATAATTAAAAATTCTTCTTGTATGATAAAAATAAATATATAAATAAAAAAAATTAAACTGACTTTGATAAAATAAAAATTAAATATTTTTTTTAATCTCAGAAAAGATGGTCAAAAAACTTCCATAATATTTTTTAACACCATTTTTTTCGTGCGGCTGTATTAAACACAAAAATGCGTCGATTTACTTAGGTATTAAACTAAAAATGTTTTTACGGTGTTATTTTTAGTTAAAACCAATAGTTTAATATTTCGCAATTGGTTTCATAAAAATCGGAAAGGTGCTCCACTCATGGATACATTCCCCTATAATTATATGGGTCAAACCACTAAAAATCATCTAAGAGTGGTTGCTGGCATATTTTAATAAAATTTAATTTTATTGATCATAATACTATCGTATAAATTTTATTTCCTTTTAAATTATAATTTATTTTGAAAGTAGGAGGTTTACGTTGTGATTTCGTAACCTTAAATGTTGCACTTTTTTTAAAAACGTTATTATTCAAAAACTATAAAACATTAGATATTATTTACTAGAACCATAGATCAATTTATTTTACATCATAAAATGATGGGATTATTATAATTATAAAATATTATTTTATTTTTAAATATTGATTTGAAAATTTTTTCAGTAAAAAAATTTTACAATTTTTCGAAGCTTGTAACTTTTTTTTGGAAGTTTCAAAAAATTTAGGGTTTTGCACATATTTTAATGTTGATATAATTTAACTGTTATAAAAATTTGATGAGGGTATTTTGCACCGTTTCAGAAATAATGAATTGGAAAAATTTTTACTAAAAAAAGGTTAATTCTAGAATTTCAAAGTTTTAAATAAAAAAAATTAAATTAAATTTATTTATTTATTTATTACCACTAATTTCCAATAACAAATTCGTAATCCCCATAAAATTCTGCGTTTAAACATGTCGTATAAGTGCCCAAAATATTGGGCCCAATCCCAGATATTCATCAGCCCAACATTTTTCTACAAATGAATACCCGGATCAAATAACTCGACCGACGCTCGGACGAACGCTCTATTACCAGTCAAGTAGCAGTGACAGCCTGTGGGCGGCTCACTGCTACCCGACTACCATTAGAGCGTGCGTCCGAGCGTCGGTCGAGTTATTTGATCCGGGTATTCAAATTTAAATAAATTTAAAAAAAACTCCTTAAGACGAAAATTCGTACTATTCGAGATATTTGCAAGTTTCCATACTTTTTGAAAACCCTGTATAAATTAAAGGCATAGCTTTGAAATGCGTCACTACAAATTAAAAAAAAACAATGCGATCAATTAATGCAAGATCGAAAAAACGGTCCAGGACGACCAAAGATGACAAAAGACAGAAAAAAAAGATTACGTCGTCTCTGGATCTCTCGGATCTCAGTGAATAGCCCCTCGGAAGTTTATACTTTCCTTAACCCATTAAGGCCCATAGGTTACACAGCGTTTCTAACGTGAAACTAACTATTGGATTCATAGCATAACCGAAAAAAAGATACACCTATTTTTTCTTTTTGTAAAAGAATTTGTTTTGCTAATTTGTTTAAACAATTAAATAAAAAAATTTCGATTTTAAATAAATGAATACCGCCATTTTAAAGAACGTGGAAAAATAAGAAACTTTTCACTTTACAACTTTTTTATCCGTCCACACCTTTTTGCAATAAATAATTATAAACAATTAGCAAAAATAAGTACGATACAGCTCAAGCTCTGAGAATTGCAAAAACATCAAAACTAACTATTGGATTCAAATAGAATAACCGAAAAAAAGTGACCCCTATTTTTTCTTGCAAAATAATTTGTTTATCTAATTTGTTTAAACAATTTAATAAAAAAATTCGATTTGTAAAAACCAATGTTGTCATTTGATAGAACGAGGAAAAATTTCCTCTTTATACAACTTTTTTATTCGTTCACACCTTTTTGTAATAAATAAAAAAAGGTGTGGACGGATAAAAAAGTTGTAAAGAGAAAAGTTTCTTATTTTTCCACGTTCTTTCGAATGGCGCACTGAGAAAACGATATGTTTGATTCAAACATAATATGTTTAACCCAAACTTAAAATAGCTTTGTTATACAGTCAAACATATTTATGTTTAAATTAAATATATTCTCTGGTTGATTCAATGTGAAAATATATTTAATTTAAACATAAATTATGGTTGATTTCAATTTATTCATAATAAATTTTTATGTTTAAATCAAACATAAAAATTTTAAACATATTTTCAGTTTAAGCCAAACAGAAAATATGTTTGAATCAAACATAATTATTCAAACAAATAATAATTTTAAGCCAAAGTAGAAAATATTTTCTATATATTAAAATTAAACATAAAAACTGTGTTGGGTTAAACAAAAACTTTTAAACTGATCTTTATATTTGAAACAAATAATTCTTTTTCTCAGTGCGGTATTCATTTATTTAAAATCGAAATTTTTTTTATTTAATTCCCTGGCCCTGATCAGGTAGGCGTTTCATTATTTCCTGATGTGGCATCGATCGAATTGCCCGACGTGGGCCATTTTTACCCTTATCAGGCCCTGATCGGCGCCTTGCCAAAATTTCTGCACGGGTTTAAACAATTATTAATTGAATTATTTGAGATTAAATTTCTTCCCTCGCCGTAATTAAAACATTTTCAAGATTTCCATTAGCTTCAATTACGGTGAGCAAAGTATCTTCAAAATACACGTAATTTTGGTCACCGTAATTGATACACCGAAACTGATACAAACGCACCGTAATAGAAAATTACGGTATTAATTTTAATTTCTCATATTTCTTTAAATAATCGATTTCTATAAAATTAAAATTTTTTTTAATATCTAAATAACATAAGCTTTTATAGCTTCATAAGTCTTAAATTGACTTTCTACAATAGAAATGACGAATTTTCTATTTCAAAGGTGTTTTGACTCGAATCGCGCCGTAATTAGGGCATTTTCCCTAGAAAACATCAGCTCTGTCGTCTGTAATGATATTTTTTCAGATCAATTTTTTTTAGAAAGCCGAAGTAATGTTAGGATAATTTTTATTTCAAAACCGGGAGAAATCGAATAGGTATATAGATCAATCTCTTTAATCTCAAACATTTTTAAATTAGTTGAAAAATGGTGCATGCATGTGCTTATAACCTATAAGGGGGCAGGTGTTTCTCACGTTGATATTTTTGCTAATACAATTTATATACTTTTCTTTCTTTATTATATATCTATAATAATCAGTGCATTAAAAATTATTTTCGTTTCTCAGTAAATTAGTAACTCAGTTGAATTTCATAAAATTACTGGTGCTTTTTACAAAGAAAATAAATAAACTTAATTCTCATTAATCAACAAATTAATATATTTCATTTATTTTGACAGGAACTATTAATGATATAATTTTCTTCTTTTATTTTGCCATATATCTTGTTATCAATTTTTATTTATTTTTTTACTCACATTTCATACAAACTTGAATGAAGAGGTTATGAAATTTGGTGGCAAATGCGTAATTTACAATTTTCATTCAAAATTACATTAAAAATAAATTATTGACTTAAGAAAGAATATCAGCAACGTTTTTATAGTTTTTTTTTCATTAAAAAACACTTGATAAGGTCACATGTAAAGTTTAAAATATAATTAATTTACAATAGAAAAATTAAAACTATATTTGAGATTTCACAATTCTAATTTCTATTATGGCCTTTCTACAAAAGCCTCCATTGCTAAAATCATACAGGGAGCACTAGAAACTAGAACCTCTAAAATGTGACATTTCAGGATTGTGTATTAACGCATCATGGAGCGGTCACACCTCGCCTGCAGGAGCAGTTGCCAATGGCAACCGTGTAAGAGTAAAAGAGATGGAAAAATCTTCTATCTCTCTTACTCTTACACGATTGCCATGGACAACTGCTCCTGCAGCCGAGGTGTGACCGCTCCATCACTCGAGGGTATTTTTTTTACGTAAAATACGTATTTTAGCCTTTAAGCACTAACAAATGCATTTTAAAATTACGTGAAATACAATAAATTACATTAGGTATTTTACTTACCCAACACTTGTGACAGCTCACTAGCGTCTCATGGTGGTAGTTCGTACAACTAGTATATTGCACCACTTGCAATTGTTTGCGTTTAGCCATTTGTTGTTTCCTTACTATTTTTATGTTATACTCTATGGCTGCTCAGCAAGTGGTTGTGATCTGATTGTGATCGTCTTTGACGTTCATCAACAAAAAGATACAATGAATAGTGTATACGATTAATAAAACATTTGAGATGAAAATTAAAATATGATAAAAAGTACTTCCTTTTTGTATAATTTTACAAAACGCTTCCAAGTTCAATCAAATCACATGAGGATTTAAGTGCTTCCGATTAACACATTTTTGCAATTTTTTTATTTAAAAAATTTAGAACCATGTCGCTGAGTGCAAGTGCAGAAAATTTGTCATCCGATGGACAAGTAAGTGACTCATTTTTAACAAGACTTAATGAAAATGTTTTATTTCAAATACTTATATTCATCTTTAAAAAAAAACTGAAGGAAAAGAATCATTTATCTTAACCTAATATAGTTTATTATAATTATTAAAGAATTTATACGCATAAATAATACTTTTGTCTATATTTTTTTAATATTAAACTGCAAAAAGAAAATGCAACTACTTATTCATAGCGTCTTACTATTCATTTTAAATCTTTAAAAAACTAATTCATTTCAAAATGCTTTTGGTGGACTATAAAAAATTCTTATTGAAATATCAAACAAACAACATTGGACATAAGTCACAATAGAACGATGCGAAAATTTTTCTAAAATAATCTAAAATTCCTGTCTAACTTGCTAAGTTTATAAGATTCATCTTTTAATTTTTATATTCAATATTTTATATAAATAAATATATTTACACTTTTCTATTGTTACATTTTTTTTATGTATCATTCACACACGTTCAATTGTAACTTTATATCCATCAGCGTTGCTCGAGTGAAAATTACACATTTTCGGGTCAAATTAATTAAATCCGATAAAGACCGTGGCTATTCAGTCCGCTAGCGGGCTAAATAATGATAGTAGATTATTTATCTTGTTATCGGCATAGAACTTGATGCCGGTATATTATTAAGCCCGCTACTGTGGTTTTAACAACGAATTAAGTTAATTAAGCCCGCTTGAAAAATGGTAAATATAATTTTCATCAATTATTTAAAAAAGACAGAGAAAAATTCTTTGGTATAGAGATTATTCAATGATTATATATTGCAAGCGTTGGTAACTTTATACGCCCAAAAGTCTCAAAATATTCTACAAAGTGAAAAAAAAATTTTACAAATAAAAAGATCTATAGGAAAACAATTTTTAAAAGATTTGAGGAAAAAATATTTTTTCAAGAAATAAAATACCCAAAAAAAATTGAGACTAATCGGGCTCCTGAGGTTGAATAACATTGAAATATGTAAAAAAAAATTCATTCGAAAATTTTCACTAACACAATAATACTTGTATAAGGAAGCAATATTAAATTATATAATATATAATAATAAAAATAAAAATATTAATTCTTTTATGTAAATTATACAGAATTATTCATCTTTTCATGTGTGATTTTAAATAACATCTACTTGTCATTTTTATAGACTTTTTGACGCTTTAAATGATAAAACTTTGTTATGAATGAAAATTATTAATTTTACGATTCATTTAAATTTACCTTGTTTATGGATGCCAATTATTTATTTTCCGTTATTAATTTGAGCATTTAAAATTATATGCTACAACAGGAAAAAATGAAGGAAAAAATTATTAGATATTAAATATTTTTAAATAGAACTCGAAATTGTGGAAGAATAAAAATTTAGAATTTCTTTTATAATTTCTAAAAAATTTTCATTGTCGATTTTTTACGCTTTTTTTCATGAATCTAAACAATCAATCGCATACGATTACAATCCTAACAAGCAATTACTTCTTTATTTTCTTTTGTTGAACGTTAAAAATAATTAATTTTTTTTGAATTTAATAATTATTTGAAAATAAAATTGTTTTTAAAATTAAATTAAAATCATTCCTAAAATTTAAAAGCTTAGTACTTGAAGTTTATACGAACCTTCTTGATATATGTATAAACAAAGTTGCAACACTGTGCTACGAAAATATATTTCTTTTATTTTTTCTTACTGAAAAGTTAAATATTCCAGAGATATTCCCTTCTATTGATAATTTTTAGTAAAATTAAAAAAGAAACATTTATTAAAAATAATTTTACAACGGCTTATTGTTGCTATTGTTGAATTTGTAAAAATTTAACCAACATTACAACTTTTTATTTATTTATTTTTCTCTACATGTTAACGGCTGTATAAAAAATGTTGTTAAAATTTTTTTCTAGAAAGAAAACTGGTCCAGTTTTGAAAGGGAAAAAAACTTTAATTAAATTTTTTTTTTAATTTTTCATGAATGATTATTTTATTTTTTATTTTTAAAAAATTTGTAATTTTATATTTCAAAAATAATTTATTTTTCTTAAAATTATATCATAATTTCTTATTTATCAGCAAGGAGGAATTTTCATACATTTTAACTAGACTTGATCTTAATGTTAATTAGGAAAAATTTTTTTAAAATAAATTTAGAATAACTACAAATTTGTAGTTTATTTTTAAATTACACTATTACATTAATCAAAAATTAAACGTATCGAAAGCATAGTTGTTGTTATTATTATTATTATTATTATTAATATTATTTTTATTATTATGGATAAAAATCAAAAAATCGTCAATATGTGCCTAACTTTTTTTAATTAAAATAAAATCTCTGAAATGTTGAAAAAAAAATTTCTTCGTTAGTCACGTTCTAAAATTTGTCAAAAATCATAAAACGCAGGATCATCGTGGAATACTTTTCTGCTCAATAAAATTTTTTCTAGTAATCACATATTTTAACACTTCTTTATGCTCACACATATTATCAAATTTATATCGAACTTCATTTATTTCATATTTAAATACATTTTACCATCCCAATTGAAAAACCGGTAAATATATGTTTACCATATGTTAGTATTTGAAATCATGAATTTTTTAAGTATTAATTATTCAGGACAAGATTTCAACGATTTTTTGATTTTAACCCTTATATATTATAAGTAGATAATTTGTTGTAAATTCGGCTAATATTGATAATTTTTTAAATTAGAACGGCGGTGGAAACGACAGCAATATGTGTCTAGAATTGGCGCTGGAGGGTGAGCGACTTTGTAAAGCTGGCGATTGCAAATCTGGAGTGGCATTTTTCCAAGCTGCCATTCAAGCCGGTACTGATGATTTGAGGACCTTAAGTGCTATTTACAGTCAATTGGGCAATGCCTATTTTTATCTAGGTGACTATGTAAAGGCAATGAATTATCATAAACTTGATTTAACTCTTGCAAGATCAATGGGCGATAAATTAGGAGAAGCAAAGTCAAGCGGTAATCTTGGTAATACATTAAAAGTTATGGGAAAATTTGACGAAGCAATGATATGCTGTAAAAGGCATTTAGCAATTTCCAAGGAGATGGGCGATAAAATGAGCGAAGGAAGAGCATTGTATAATTTAGGCAATGTTTATCATGCAAAAGGAAAACAAGGAAGAATAGGTTATCAAAATCCTGGTGAATTCTCAGAAGAAGTTAGACAATGTTTACAACAAGCGGTATTTTATTATGAAGAAAATTTAAAATTAATGAGAGAATTTTGTGATTCTGCTGCTCAAGGTAGAGCATGTGGCAATTTAGGAAATACCTATTATTTATTGGGAGATTTTCAACAAGCAATTTTTTATCACAACGAAAGATTAAAAATAGCGCGTGAATTTGGCGATAAAGCGGCCGAACGTAGAGCAAATAGTAATTTGGGAAATTGCCATATCTTTTTAGGGGAATTTGAAAAAGCAGCTCAACACTATAAACGAACTTTAGTATTGGCCAAGGAATTAGGTGATCGAGCTGTTGAAGCACAAGCATGTGATTCCCTTGGTAATACATATACATTGCTTCGTGATTATCCAACAGCTGTAGAATATCATCTTCGTCATCTTGAGATTGCTCAACAATTAAAGGATAAAGTTGGCGAAGGTCGAGCTTGTTGGTCGCTTGGAAATGCTTACTCGGCAATGGGAAATCATGAAAAGGCCCTTCATTTTGCAAATCAGCATTTGAATCTATCTAAAGAATTGGGTGACGAAATGGGACAAGCGACAGCTCAAATGAATGTTGAGGATCTTCAGAAAATTCTTGGAATCGATAAGATTATTCCAAAAGATGAGAAATGCAATAAAACACAAACTATTAAGGCAGCAGTTACCAATATTGCTGCTTCCTCTCCCGGAAGGTACAGACTGCGTCGACAAAGTATGGACAATTTGCATCTCATCAAGGTAAATATAAATATCATTTGAATATGATAAGTTTTACACAACTTTTGCCAGCAGTTTTTCTTCTATTTCTATTTTTAACTTTTAGTTAACACCTGAAGGAAAGAAAAGAGAAATAAGTGAATGTCCTCCTCCAGCAAGAGCCGGAATTGCACCTCAACCCTCGCAAGAAGAAGATGAAAACAACTTTTTCGAACTTCTTTCTCGGTTTCAGTCTGGCAGAATGGATGATCAACGTTGTGCTCTTCGTACAAATACAAAGCCAAAAATTAAAGTTACTGCTAATGAGAATAAAAAGTCAGTTTTTTATAATAATTATTTTTTTATAGTACCTAAATTTTATGATCTGGATATAAGACAATCAGCAAGACTTAAAAATTTAAACTGCATGAAATATTTGCTTTTTGTAAAGTTCAAAATTAACTTTTTGTTTGACGATGTCCACCTATGAAAAATACTAATAAAAATCTAATGGATTTCATTGCAGCGACGAGGACGATTTACTTGAATTAATAGCAGGTATGCAGAGCAAACGAATGGATGAACAACGTGTAGTGCTTCCATTTTTACCTGGCCTAAACGCCAACAGTGCCAATCAATCAACAATGCATTCTCCACAAGACACTGACGATTCATTCATTGAAATGCTTGTACGATGTCAGGTTATTATCAACTAATTTGCACTAGATTTGATAAGTAGATGATTATTGAAATTTTATTTTTATATTGAGGTCTTTAATTTCTTAAAGTAGCTTCTTTGATTATAATTCCTGTGTAATATAAGAAATTAAAATATTTGTATTTTTTCTCTGCTTTGAATTTAATATGCAGCAAGGTTCGAGAATAGACGATCAACGGAGTATATTACCAATATCTTCGAATCTACAAGATCCTGAAGATGTCGAGAACCAAAGAACAAATGAAAATGTTCAAGCAGGTGCCACAGTTCCCGAAGAAGATCTTTTTGCTTTAATTCAAAGGCTTCAAGCGGGACGTATGGAGGATCAACGGGCTTCGGGTCCTGGAAAAACTTAGTATCGTACTAACTTCCACTATATATATATATATAATAAAAATTAACTGACGTTTATCTAATGTAAAATCTTAGATATCTTCGATCAAATAGTTTGCCCAGAGTTTTATTTGGCGCTAAACCTATGATCTGTTTCATTGACACACAAATTGTACATCATAATTATTTTATCATTTAAGATACAACTTTTTTACTTGTATTATTACATAATATGAAAATGTAACACAATTTCTTGATACGTTATACGTTCCAGAAAAATTATATACTTCATTTTTTCTTCATAACTAGATGAAATACATTATTTTACCCTTATTATTAAAATTATATATTTTTTATTTCTTTTTCCTCTGATAAAAAAAGTGGATCCATATCGAAATATTAAAAAAATAATCGAAAATCTACAAATTATATCACGCACTGCGATAAAATGAAAGAACAAAATTCTAGACAAAACGAATTTACATCAAGTTAAGGACGTTTATCCACGGAAATGTAGACCTCTAGAAAAAATAATTAATTAACATTTAAATAATTAAAATAACATTATTAATTGTACTTTCTGAAAGATGAAATAGTACTTTTCAAGAAACAAATTTGTCAACATGCAAAATTAATTTGTTTATACAATTTTCATTGTATAAAATTTTTTTGTTATATCGCTTCTACAGCATTTTTTAAAAATGATTTGATTTCAGTGAAATATGGCTTATTTTCTTCAGAAAATGATTCTTTACAACTTCGCCGTGGGGTTTTTGAAACAAGCAAGCCGTTTGGAAAATACAGCTATTTGTTTAAAAGAAAAATTTCCATTTTTTTAAACAAATAGCTGTATTTGCCAAACGGCTTGCTTGTTTAAAAATCCCCACGGTAAAGTTGTAGAGAATCATTTTCTGAAGAAAATAAGCCATATTTCATTGAAATCAAATCATTTTTAAAAAAATTCTGTAGAAGCGATATAACAAAAAAATTTTATCCTATGCAAATTGTAGAAACAAATAAATTTTGCAGGTTTTAAATTTTTTCTTAAAAATTAATATCTCATCTTTCAGAAAGTACAATTAATAATATTATTTTAATTATATAAATGGAAATTAATTATTTTTTTCAAGAGGTCTGCCTTTCCGTGGATAAACGTCCTTAAATTCTATCACTATTATGCTAAAATTAAAATATTTTTAAATTTTGACCAAGAATTTGGATTTAGTTAATATTTTTGTCAAATAAGAGTTTATCGGTAATAAATAATATTTAGACTATGAAAATTAATCCATACCGCTGTTGTCCCAGTTTCCGTCGAGTTCAATTTTGAAGATAACATTTATAAAAAAAAAAAATTATTTTCAAATCAAGTAATATTTCATAATAAAAGGTTCAATAATAGGTCAATTCCTTCGTTTTTAAATATTCACTAAGTTGGTAATGATAATTTTAAAGTCAAATAAAGATTTTTAAATAAATAATTCAATAAAATCAGGTTTTTCAAAATTTTTCAATTTTAAAATGTTAATAACTATTAATAAAATAACAGTATAGGATATTCGCTCATAGCTCAAAAGATGAGTCTTAAAAAACTACAAGATTAATGAAAAATATTCATAGGTGTTCTAACAATTTTCAGGGTGTCTAACAAGAATGGGGAAAAAATTCCCTGACTTTACCCTGACATTTTTTGATTTTTCCCTGACTTTTTAATAACCTTATTTCTGCTTTCTTTGGAACAATAAATTAATTTCTAATGGTAGTAACAAATGGTAATAAAAACCATTCAAGTTTTTTTAGATTTTAAAATTGAAAAAAATAATAGTTAATATTTATGAAGTTTTCTCACTGTTTGTCCCCCAGTGAGACCTACAATTTGTATTACCTCTTATAGTAGATATTTATGAATACACACACATTTTTTAAAAATGTGCTTTTTGGATACCTAAGGTTGAAAAACATAAAGATAAATAACAAAAATTTTGGTATTACAATGCTTCCTCCATGAGGAGGCAACAAAGAGCCAGTGAACAACAGAAAAAAGAGGAGGAAAAATTGAGAAAAAGAGAAATAAATGATGATGTTGATTGACTACTGGGTATTTTACCTTATTTTTTATTGTTTAATTTAAAAGTATTCCGAATTTTCCTCACTTGTCCCATGTATTTTTCATGAAAATTGAAAACTTTTTTATCTTCTTTATAAATTTATAATATATAATATTATAAATTGTTTATCGTTTTGACATATTCAATTAAAAAGAACATTTTCTATTTAAAAAACAGCATCAATTTGAAGTCATAATTTTCATTGCAACGAAAAGGACAAATCCTTATTAAAAATCCGAAAATACCTATTATATGGTCAAATTGTACGCAGTATAGGTAATAATTATTTATAAAGAACTATAATTGATAATTGAAAAGAAGATTTAAAAAAAAGAATTAAGAAAATGTATGTGAATAAGAAAATAAAACACAAGTTGTAAATGTAAAATCAACAAAAAAAAACTACTTAAATTTATTAGAGTATTTCACTAAAAGTTTCTATATTTATATTAGTTTACAAATTTTTAATTACTTAATATTGAGCAATGAGAAACAATACTGTGCAGAGCTTTTATTTCTTCTCCTTTCAAATTTGGCGATCCAAACAAAAAATTCTTGGAACAAGCAGAATTATTAAGTAGGATGTCATTTTTCTCATTCTTTGTCAGCACTAGTGAGTGCACTGACACTTGAGTTAAATTAACTTTCCTAGCTATTGTCCCAGTGATATGAACATCATCTATCCAAAAATAAGGTTCTTTTTGAGCTTCACGATATAATAAAAATGCAGTATCAGGAGAATAGAAAATAGCCCATCCTGCGCAATAAAGTGGATATTCTCTTCCAGGATATTCTCGTGGTGATACACGCCATTTTGAACGATAGGATCTTTTCACTTTTGCCGAAAGTGGATCGCAAAGCATAAGACGCCTAGCTCCCCAAGGTGACAAATGATGCTTTAAGAAATCCAACACTGCATTGATATGCACGAATACGTCATCATCCAATTTTAATATGTATTTGGCACCTAGAATATAATTTGAAAATTATTAAAATTTTAATTTTAATTTAAAACAAGTAAACATTGAATTTCACTTACCAGGACAATGATATGTGGCCCATTTTAGAGCCATGACGTGTTTATAAGTCATATTTCTATAGGCATCATGAAAATTTCCTTGGATTAAATCACCATATCTTAAATCTTCCGTTTCAAGTTCGGCTTGATATTCTTCAGACCAGCCAATAAGGAAAATTGTTGTTACAGATGATGATGCTTTACCCCAAGTTTCGCGAATGACATTTCTTTTTTCCACATTTTTTGGTGCAGAATGAACCATCATTAATAAAAGCGGTTGAGTTTTATTACACATATCATGATTTAAAAGAAATTTAAAACTCTTCAAATCAATAAGTGTATTCTCATCATCATTCGATAGTTCATTTATTGTTAATGATTGTGAATATTCTGTACTATTTCCAGGAAGGACTAAAACAAATCCTGGAGTACTCATTACATTAGACGATAATATAATTGAAACTTGGTAAGCATTGTGACACCAGAAGAAAGCGCATCCAGTGAAGAAGAGAGCGAGTACAAATATTAAGTAACATGATGAAGATCCAATGGTAGGTAACCGCCTCTTATCGAGCATACTGACGAAAACGTTTCATTATACTCATTCCAGCCCTACTAGAACACAAAAATATTTATAATTAATATCATTTAGTTTTACTTTTTCAGGTTAATTAAAAAAGACACAATCTTTTAACGTTTCAACAGCACTATTGTCTTTTTTAGAAACAAAAAAGAATGTTGAGCATTCTACACGAACGAACAACCTCAATAATGGCTTATTTTTTTAATATTACAATTTTATTGAAAATCCATTAAACAGTGGAAAATAGGTTTGGATTTTGTAATAAATTTAATTTAATTTTAATTTTGTTTTTAATTTGTTTAATTTTGTGTAAAGAAGAAGATTTAATACTTTTGTACATTTCTATTTATTTAAATTAAAAAATTAATTAATTAAAATTAATATTTTTATTTATAATCAAAAATATTTATTAATTCATTCATTTGAATGAATCATGAATCATAAAACTAGAAAAAAAAATATATATATATATTTTTTGGGGTGCTGCATAACCGGAGAAAAAAAAAGTGCTGCATTACCGGATCTGGGACAATTTTGCAAATGACCTCATAATTTTTTTCCATTCAATTATTTTACAAAAATTCTTTTTACTTCATAAAGTAGAGGACTAAAGTTGAGTTTCCACATGTTGTAAATATTTTTCAAGCTCGTTAGTTTTGCTTGATAAACAAGTAAAAAAAATCAGTTTGTTACAAAACGGGAAAAATCATTGCAGCGTTTTTTCACATAGTGCTCACAAAAGGTTAAATAATATTTGGCGAATCGGTGTTTGCTCAAAAACATCCTTATAACGTGACCAAAAGTTGACATAAGTTTACCAATTACAAAGTAATAACTTCAATAAGTATTTAAAAGCTAAAAATATTATAAAGTATTTTTATAATTTTAATTACTATAATATGATTATTTCTATATAAATCATATAGAGTTTAAAAAAAGAAAAGTTATCAAAAGTGATTTCAAAGTTACAAGTTAATTATTGTGATTAATATTTAATCGCTTATGTAGTTAAATCTTATCATTGAAGTAAACCAATTAATGAAATATTTCAAACTCTGAATAAAACTCAAACTCACTTTAAAATTGAAAACTGTATATCCAATAACAAGTTTTAATAAATAATAATTTTATTTAAGTATATAAATTTCAATTGACAAATAGCTAAATTATTTACATAATTTATTTGTATTTTTAACAAAAATTATAAAGTTTAACAGTAATAAAAAAACTAATCTACAAAACTTGTTTTTATATCTAGTAAAGCCAGAGCTAAAATTATATATGTATATAAAAAAAGATATTGATTTGAAAAGTTTTCAAAATTTTTAGATTTTCTTGTTATCATTTGAAAATATTATACTGAACAGAAAATCTAAAAAAAAATTTACTATAAAGAGAATAGAATAGAATCTTAATAAGCTGAAAATTATAAAAGTTGAAAAAAATTCAATAATTTATGCACTATAAAAATCCTGAGAATTTTTATTACTATTGTAATATTAATAAAAAATAAAAAAAACATAGAAAATTATTCAATTAAAAGGAATAAGAATATTATCACTTACATATCTATTGGTATTCGACAAAACTCATGTCACTCATGGAAACAGAAAAGGATTCAATTTGATAGAAAACTTCTATTTCAAGAATTAGAATTGTGTAATCAAAAAATGAATTTAAAAGGATTTACTTATCAAACTAATATAATGAAACATTTCAATTTTTCAATACTTCTTAACCCTCAGTAACACACCTTAAAAATAATTATTCCGCCGCACACCTTTCAGTGAATCCTCTTTGTAAGTAAAAAAAAAAATCTATAACATTGACAAACGCATTAAGAAGTTATTCAATAATCAATTTTTATCACTTGTAGAAACTGATTTTTTCGAGAACAAACAGATGAACAAAAAATGTGTTGACTACTTGAACGTTTTTTTACAAACACGAGGAAATATCTTTAGAGGAATTTCCTCATTTTTTCGAGGTCCGATTAAATTTGAAGTAAGATAATTAAAAAGACATTATATGTTTAAACTATGTAAATGTATTCATAGAAATGTGTTTACGAGAAATATATATCGAAAGATATAGGAACTAATTATTTCTTACAGTAAGTAAAACAAACGTTATTTTAAAAAAATATTGAGATAGAATACCTCACCTCACCATGTGTGTGACGAAGGGTTAATACAAACCTTCTTACACCGGTAGCGTAAACTAACCACTATTCAATTGATTTTCTATGATTACTGTTTACTTTTGACGACGATCACGAAACCGGTTTTTATAGACTTGCAAAGTGGGAATGCTTTGTTTTACATGGAGGTATTGATATATATTTTTAAATAAATAAATCTAAAGTTTTTTTTTCAAAAATTCAAAATGGCGGACGAACATTTTTAAAATTTATCGGATTCAGTTAAAACTTGTAACTCAGTGGATTTGAATTTTTTCAATATTTTCGAAATTTTGAATTTTTTAAAAATATTGCGCTGATTACGAAAATTATAGTGACAATACCCAAAAATTTGATTTTTATGGTGAAAACTATAAAAAAAAGTTCTTAAAATTTTTGGATTTTATATCTTATGAATATTTTGAACATTTTACATATTTTACCCAATAAACGTTAAAAACCAAAAATTTTAGGACTTTTTTTATGATTTTTAGAATAAAAATCAAATTTTTAGAATAAAAATCAAATTTTTAGATATTGTCACTATGATTTTCGTAATCAGCTCATCAAAACACATAAAAGAATGTACATATAAAACAAAACCGGAGGTATTTTTAAAAAATTCAAAATTTCGAAAATTTAAAAAAAATTTTAAAAATATTGAAATCGTTTTCCCACGACCGGACTAGGCTTAACATTTTTGGAAAAGAAAATAGTTTTTTTTTTTTAATTTTTTGAAAAAAATCGAACTATACAAATAGTTTTAAAAACAAGATTTTAACCTTTAAATTACAAAACATATAGTAAATTTTAATTTTATAATTTTTTGTATGAAATTTTTGAATAGTTCAGTTAAAAACCCACATTTAAAAAAGACTTAAAATTGATGAACGGCTTGATGAAAAAATTTGAAAAAAATCATAAAACTCTTTTTTGGAGGGTACAAAATAGTAAAACAATTTAAGCCAAATCGAAGAGGTCATTTTATATGATGATTTAATTTTTATACAAATTATTTTGTAATAATAAAATTCTTTAAATATTCTTTTCTGAAAATTTTCCACTTTCCTAGCAGGTAATAATTGTTAACCCATTTTTAACTGCTTTGAAAGTATTAAATTAAAAAAAAAGAAAGTAAAACTGCTTCATTCAAAATAGTTGAATTATTGTATTGAATATTGTAATTTTACAAATTTTTGTAAAAAAAATACAAAATCGTTATAAGAGATTTTTTTTAGTGTATATAACCTTAAAATTATAACCTAACTGGCATTTAAGTATTAAATTGTGTAAGTTATCTAATCCAGTCAATTATACTTTTTTTATTATGGCAAGTCCTTGGATGCAGTAAAATTAAGTAAAAACCTTATTTTATAATGTATCTTACCTTACAACTTTTTTTTTGGTAATAATTGTTTCAATAGAACTTTACACGTATTAAATAAATAATAATTCGATAATCATGTTATAGCCTTAACAAAACAAAAACTATAAATTCTAGTTAAAATCGTATAATTTTGTAGTCACAAAAATTTTATGAATTGTTTTAAAAATTATTAAATAACTTTCTTAATTTAGTAAAAAAAAAAACAATGCCGAAAGACAACTATATACCTACATTTGGAAAAATGTCAATCGTCAATGTCATTGTAAATTAAACTTACTTGACAAATTCCTTTTTAAAAGATTTCTTCATCTCAAGAGGTTCAGCTTTTCATAAAATTCATTTATTACATCGAAACTAAAATTGATTATTTCACTACTAATATTTACAGAATATAGCATTAGCTATAATGCACATGATGCTTTAGTACTTTTTAAAAAACATTTTCAAAATGTGTATTACATTATTTGGAAACTACACCCAACTACTGTTGAAACAAGGCGAGGGCTGCTAAGGCCTAAAGGTGAGTTCAAAATGGGTAGGTATAACGAATTAGGGTACGGTCACACCTTCAAATGTACTCTTGTGGCCAACACACATGTTGTCATGGCAACATATGCGTTAGAAAAAGACAAAAAAGTGTAGGAATATCTGGCCACTTCTTTGTCCTTTTCTAACGAACGTGTTGCCACGTCAACATGTGCGTTCGACAAAGACAGAAATAGGAACGCATCAAGGCCTTTCTCCAATATGTTCCAAAATGTTTGCGTTGCGTGACTCACGCGTTGGTTCGCAAGCGTAGTGACGTCATCAAAGCATTGATACCAATCGCGAAAAAAAAGTTGGATTTACGTTCCTCTTATCCCTGTTTTCCAACTTTACAATTTTTAATGCAAATGTTTCTCAACAGTTTTTAATAATTTTAATTATTAATATTTATATAATTAAAAAATTCAGTGTCTTAAAATCATAAACCAAACTTTTTGTTCGAGATTGGTATCAATGCTTTGATGACGTCACTTCGCTTGCCAACCAACGCGTCAGTCACGCAACGCAAACATTTTGGAACATATTGGGATCTGAAATACTGCGATACGCCATCTGGTGAGAGCCTTGTTGTGGTGGCCATGTTTTCATTCCGTGTTTCTCTAACATATACAAAAGAAAGAGATAAAAAACCAAGATGGTTGTCACAAGAAGGCTCAGGGGTGGGTCAGTTTCGCGTGATTTCTGATCCCCAATTGGAGAAAGGACTTCAGTGACTACGAGTTACGGATTTTATGCTTAGGCTGTTTTTAAGGCAGTTCCAGAATAGGTGCAAAAGCCAAGTACAAGTCCAAATGCAAATCCCATGAGTGCAAGAGAGATAGGTAGTCTATCTATCTCTCTTGCACTCATGGGATATACATTTGATACGTTACGTTCATGTTTTTGGTCTATTCTGGACTCAACCTTATGGCATGTTCAGAATAGACCAAAAACATGAACGTACACAGAACGTCATAGGCTGCAGTCCCATGGCAGCGTTTTGCGTTGCGTTTTGTCACTAGACCATGAGTGTAAAAGAGATGCAGATATATGTTTGCTATGTTTACACTCAGGGTCTAGTGACAAAACGCAACGCAAAATGCTGCCATGGGACTGCAGCCATAATGTATTTTAAATGGATATGTTACGTTAATGTTTATGTTTTTAGTTTATTGTGGACACAACCTTAAACGTTATCATGACGATCCTACTAGCAGTTGTGCTGTTGCCGTACCCTAAACTTGAACGTTTTGGTCTATTGTGAACTCAACCTCTGAGAAAAAGGAGAAGAATAGGAGCAAAAAAAGGCAAGTGCAAGTCCAAGAAAACTATGGCCATTTTCGAATTGGGATTTTTAGCGTACTTTTGATAAAGTGTATATTCGGGAAGTATGCAGTGTCCTTGTTTTTCCGTGCGTAAAAAAGGACACTGCATACTTGATACTTGACACTTGAGGGGCTGATAGTAAAAATGGTTTAAAATAACATTGGGAGCAAAAGTGGGATAAGTGACTTGGGAGCAAAAACGGGTTAAAATGATTCGTGTAATTTATTGATAAATTCATTATATTATCGACTAAAAAATATTAACAATAGGAAAAAATGCATATTTTATTATAATTAATATTTTTTAATCGATAATATAATGAATTTATCAATAAATTACACGAATCATTTTAACCCGTTTTTGCTCCCAAGTCACTTATCCCACTTTTGCTCCCAATGTTATTTTAAATCATTTTTACTATCAGCCTCTCACTTTATCAAAAGTGCGCTAAAAAAACCCAATTCGGAAACGGTCTATGAGTACAAGAGGATTTACCTATCTCTCTTACACTCATGGTTTTCTTGGACTTGCTCTTGCCTTTTGCTTCTATTCTGGATTCGCCTGTGTGTCAGTACCCTAATATAAGATAGGCTTAAACATTTCTGTTCTTGTCTTACACATAAGTTACCATGGAAGCGCGAGAATCAGATAAGGATAAAAAATATTTTTTTGTTATCTATCGAATATCGAAGTATCGATAGTAATGCGATTGATATGATATAGTCGTAAATCAATCTTTTCTGTTAGTACAGTAGAGTGTACAGCAAAATGGCCGCATTTTAGTCTGCAGACTCGTTTTCTTTACTGTTTGCCAATAAGTCGTTTAAAAGGGCCTGACAGTGATTGTGAAAAAGTGACATCGCCTGTTTCGCCGAAAATTTTATCGACGAAACAGCTGAAATTTGTCTTAAAACGTATTATACTTTGGTAAGAAAATCGTCCGAAAGGATCATTTTCATATAGCCGGACCAAGCCCATTGAATATCCACTTATTTATTAATAGCTATATGTATATACATATATATATTAAAAATTGTTTGATTAATCTTAGAATAAAAGACAAGTGAACATTAATTAATAATGGCTTTAATGGTCTTTAGTGATATTGCTATTGTTTTTTATTTTATAAATGAGAGTAAAGGCCGAAGTTTTTCTTAACTTTATGCAAGTTTACCGGGTGGAGGCCACATTTAAAGATACATTTTTTCTTTTCTTTATGAGTTAACGTCTTTTACACGTTGTACCTTTAATAATTTTATATAAAAAAGTAATTCAATTAATTTCTTAACACTCGCTGACATTATCTTTATTGCACAATTTCGGAATGTAAAAAACAAAATTGACTTTTCTGAAAGATTCATCCTTGAACTCCTAGAGTTTCGAATTTATTTACTGAGATCGAAACAAAAATAAAACATTAAGTATTTATTAATCTTGTTAAAAAAAAGTAGAAATTTATATAGGGAAATGTGATTAAAATTATATTAAAAAATGTAGCTCTTACCCTGAAAGCTCATATTTTTTTGTGAGTAATTTTAATTCAATTGGTTTAATCACTTTTTGTTTTAAACAATCATCTCTAATCAAGAAGTAATAAATGCAACCACATGTTTGTTAAATTAGATAAAATATAAGAAACTTTATATTTTATTTGAACCCTTTTAGTTTTTTATTATATTTGGTTTTCTTTGAAAAAACTATAATAGCCATTTTAGATGCCATTTTTTACGTCTCATGAAGTTATTAGGTTATAAATTGAATTTTAAAAAAAAAAATATATATATATATATTATAATTATAAATATATAAATAATAAATTAAAATATATATATTGCAATTTTTTAAATAAAAATGTTATCTTTTTTATAAAAAAAAATAGTATATTTTACTTCGTCGTAAACATTTTTGTATGTAAATGTTTTCAGCAAACTTTTCTTTATCTTTAGAAATACGAGATCGTGATCAAATGTCTGACTGTATTTGTTTCTGTGTATATGCAGGCCTCGAATCGACTTTTATAGTTTAAAAAAGTCGATTTAGTCGATTGAAATCATAAAAAAAAGTCGATTTGGATATTTGGAGGAGTTTTAACTTAAATATAACAAAAGAATGTACTGCTAAAACAGAATTTTTTGCCTAAAAATTTTTTTTTATAATTTGTTGATTAATGAAAACTACAAGAAATATTTTTTAGGCAAAAAATTATAGAATTTTCCATTTTAAAAAAATAATTTCTTTAAAAATCGTTTATCATAAACGTTGCGTACTTCAGCTTCGAAAGTTAAACATAAAAATTTTTAATTTCACCTAAGAATTTTAAAAAATATCTACACAATAATTTTTTTTATTGCCTTTCTTTCAAAAATTCATTTTATGGCAAAAAAAATTTTTGTTGATACATTGTTAAAATTGGAAGAAGATTTTTTAAATTAGTTACAAAAATCTTTAACATCACACAAAACGAGAAAAAATACTTGAGAAATTTTGTGGAAAAAGAACAAATTTGATTAAATAAAAATTTTATCAAATTAAAATACTATTAAATGTTAATTTTAGTTAAATAAGAATTCGTTGAAAAAAAATTTCCGACAAATTGGTTAAATGAAAATTTGTTTTACATCAAATTTGGTTGAAGGAAAATTCGATGAAATAACAATTATTAACTTATACCTATTTATATACTGAAATTGAGTAAAAATTTCAACTATTTAAACAAACAAACAAATTTTATCAGAATAAAAAAGAGATTTATGACAACGCTGTTATTTAAAGGGGTTACATCACTTTAACGATTGGAAAAATGGGTACACAAATAAAATTTTTGTTACGAGGATATTACACATGACAATCACAAGCTGTTTGATGGAGGTTCTACATCAAAAGTTTGTATCTTGGTTGTACAGCTCAACGCCTACCTCGTCCAAGTCGTTCAACTACATAAAATTCTTCCAAATAAATTAGAAGAGATAGAAGTTCTTTTGACCATTTATGTGACAAAAGAGGTTTCTCAGAAACCTCGACATTATTAAAAGCTTAAAAATGCGCGTAATTGTATAACATTTAATAGAAAGTTTACAATTTATAGATAACAATATGGTTTAGGATATTGTTCTGAACAAACATAAATCAGTGCACTATGAATTTTTGAAAAAAAAATACAAGATTAACTCGCTCGAGGATGAATCTTATTTATTTAGTGTTTTAAAAGCAATTATATTATATTATATTATATTATATTTTATATTATATTATATATTATATATATATATATATATAATGAAATAGAGAGAAGGGGGGAGCGGGGACTAAAAATAATGCAATTGAAACTTGCAAACTAAAAGTTACGAGTACTGTTATAGCGAATTTTTAAGTACTTGCTTAAGTTAAGCCATGATTGCCAGATTAAAAATTTTTTTTGAAGGTTGACAATTTTTTTCCACATAGTTACATATAAGTACAAAAGATTTGTGCGGTTTTTGAATTTTTAAATCATTAAGCAGATGCCATAACATTTAATTTACTAAAACGTAGAAAAAACCCATGTAAATTTAATGCAAAAATGTCGACCTCCAGAGGCACCCCTTAATATTGCGATAAAGGGTTTTAATTTATGCCAAAATTTTTTTTTATTTTTTTTCTTCCAAACTAGGGGGTGGACTGAATTCGATTCCAAAATGACCATATTAACGACCACCCTAATGGGCAAATCCACAGAAGCGTGTGATTTCATGTTATTCCTCATTTAAACAATTTTAATATTATATAATTTTTTTAGTTTCAATGTCTTTTTAAATACATATCTAACCAAAAAAATCAAAATTTTTATAATGTTCACTTGAAATAAAAAGTCGTATACGAGTTTAAAAAATTAAATTTGGTTTGTTACTCTGGGCATTTTTTCGACTTAAATGTGTGTAACTTTTTCAGCATAAAACAACCGTTCAAAACCAATTGTAAATGATTCTTCTAATATTCCAAAATGTATTAATTATCGAAAAAAAGATATGCTCCTTCATTAAAACTAAATGGCAATAATTCAAACAGTGTTACTCCCATTTTTCAGTAACAGAAAGTCAAAGATTTTTTTGAAAAAAGCTTTTTAAAAACTTTCTACTTATAGTAAAATCGAGTGGAATATAATTTATTATTATACATGTTTTAGTAGTCTTCATTTGTTTTTTCAGTTAAAAATGATATCTTGACAAACAAAATTTTTATATTACTTTTTTTAATTATAATTCTTTCTGCAGTATATAAAAATGATTCACGCAAAGAAAATTTTATTCGTAAGTTCATTTCGAACACATATATCTAAAAATGTTTTTAATCTTCCTTTAAAAATGCTATTCGAATAGAAAAACTTTTAGCCCTCCAGATAAATTCATGTGACCGCTACAGAGGAGTGGGGTACACGATTTTCTAAAAACCGATATTAATAGGGTTCCGAACCGTGTACGGGACCCTAAAAAGTACACTAATTTCCAATATGATGTCAGTTTTTCAAAATCCAAAATGGCGGATTTTTTAATATAAAATCCGCAATTTTGAAGGATTGCTATAGATCATAGGAAAAATCTATGAGGATTTTTATTAAAAACACTGGAAAAATATAAAAGAGCTAATTTGTGTTATTTTAGAAAAAGGAGAAAATAAAATGTAAATATAGTGTAGTGTAAATGTGGCTGTATCTGGACAAGAAACAAATTTTGTATTGACAAAGAAATAAAATTCTATTCTATTCTATAAAAGAGATAAATTTGTTAAGAAAATTCCGACTTTCGGAAAAAATGGAGAAATTTAATAAAATTTGCCCTGATTTAAATTAAAAAAAAATATTTTACCTGGATCAGAAAAAAAAATTTTTTTGTCTGAAAATCAGAGAAAAAAGATATTAAATTTTTATTGCAACTCTGTATATAGCAGAATATTTAAAAAAAAAATTAGTCGGATTCGATTCAAATTTGTCATTTGGGGAGTTTTCAGAGTCACTGATTACAAAGTCAATGTCATATTTGTAATCTGCGATCCCAAAAATCTCTGCATAACCAGCTTTTAGTATATAAACATTGAAAATTTTTTTTTTTTTTTTTGTAGAGCTGTATGTACTCCCAAAAACCTCTGAGTAACTATTTTTAAATCATAGAAACGAATATAGACTTGTTAACTTCAGGTTTCTTTAAGAAAATGTTATTTATGTGTAATAACTCTTTAATAAAATTGGTTCATCTTTTATTTTATTTAAGAATGGAAGGACCGATGCGTCCGATGCAACAGGCAAGTATGGCCCCCCCTCAACAGCCTCAGCATCCTCATGCGCATCGGAATCCGCATGGTGGACATCAAATACTGTCTATGCCCAACCATCAACAACAGACTCATATGCCTCATCATATACAACATCCTGTGCTGTCGCATGGCAACCAGCGACACATAAGTCAAAATGGTATGCTTTTTTTTCTTCCTTAAAGCATATTTAATTGTCTATTATTGTTTTTCAAAATTTCAGTTTTTTAAACTAAAAAAATACACCATGCTGTTTCGCTATGAAAATGAAGCTTTTTTTCAGAAAAGAAGTTAATTCTAATTTTTGCATTTATTTAAGCTTATCATATAAAGATTTAATTTTTATTTCCAATATCAGAAACAAAAGTCCAATTTATTTATTTTTTCATTCGGTTATTTGAATAAATAATAAACTTTGTTTAGTTTTGTTCTGGAATCAAAAATTTATTTTTTATTCAGTTGAACAGATTATACTTTACGATTAATCACATTTAATATCTCGAAAACAAAAAAAAAAAATTGCATTCTGAAAATTTATATACAGATAGGAAAAAATCTCAACTTTCGTTTGCAATTATTTATTTTGAAAAAAACTATCGATTTTTGGTGAAAATAACAAATTTGTTATTAATTATAGAAAATAAAGGTCAAAATTCAAAAAATTTTAAAAAACAAATTCACCATTGGAAAGAGCATTAAAAAGTCTTTAAAAACATACCTAACAACAATTTTTTTATTGCATGTATAAACAGCGCAAAAATTTAAATAATAGGCGGCGTCAAGGAAAACTAATAAAGTTGCCCCCCTATATCTCCCCTAAAATTTCAAAAATGTCAAAAATTTTTTTTTTTTGATATTTTACCATCAGGTAAGACAACAATTTCCCCACACGGAAAGAAAAATTATTTCTAATTCAATAAAAGTTAATGTAAACTTTAACATAGTCAAATTTGAGCATCGCAAATTCTGCTTATTCGACTGTCTAATTATTGTATCAAAAAAATTAATAGAGTTTCAGCTCTTTAGGGAATGTTCACATTATGACGTCACACAATTTTTCCAGATTTTGGACCTCCCTTTCCTATAATCCCATTTTCAAAACATATCTTTTTTTATTTTATTATACTGAAATTGCACTTATTTATTATTTATCAAAAAAAAATTATCAACAATTTAATTTTTAATTTAATTTATTCATTCATACAACAAAGAATTAAAAATTAATTTCAAAGTTTTACTTCAAATTTATTAAACTGAATCTTTTATATAAATAAAAAAGTTATTGTTATTTTATTGCATTTTTTGATATAACACAAAATCGTAATATAGGTGGTTCCAGAATAGGTGCAAAAGCCAAGTACAAGTACAAGTCCAACTACAAATCTCATGATTGTGAAAGAGATAGGTAGTCTATCTATCTCTCTTGCACTCATGTGATTTGCATTTGGACTTGCACTTGTACTTGGCTTTTGCAACTATTCTAGAAACCGCCTTAACATAACCGAAAGCAAACGATTATTTAAATTGGTGGATTCTACATCAATTTGACACTGATTCGATACAATTGGTGATTGATTAGGATTTGGGTATTGTTTTGAGAATTAATTACTTTAGTAATAATAAACAACTTATCAAAAAATTTATATTTAAATTCATAAATTAACAAAGATATAAAATTTAAATTTAATAATATTATTAAATTTAAATTATTTCTAGACTCTGGTTCTATTTAACTGATTTTGAATTGTAAAAATGAAAATTATTTGTGTTCAATTGTATCTTTGAAGGGACGCATGAATAACCTCTATAAAAGAAATTTTTTAGAATTATGATTAGATAGAATCTTATTCAGTAGAATATTATTTTTGCATAATATTAAATTGTTAAAATATATTGCAGAATTTCTATTAAACCGATTATCAATGTTGCAAAAATTTTATTTAAACAAAAATTAATTTGCCAGAAATTAAATTTGATCGAATCTCAATTTATAAACGAAACATTGTCTCGTAGAATATTACTTTTTCAGAAAAAAGGTTAGAAAGAATATTAATTTTGCAGAATTTTTTTATTTGCTCGAATATTAATGTTCCAGAAAATGAAAATGTAAATTTGACCTATAAGAAATTATCAAGAAAATTGTTATAGATCAAATTTAAACTTCGCATCGAATTATTTGTGTCAAATTAAAAGGGTGTCCAGCGGTCAGGGATGTCAGGAAAATTTTTAAAAATTTGCCAAAAATGAACATTTTTTTGAATTTTTAAAATTTTTCGGTTCAAGAAAAAGTTTATAATGCTAATAAATAAAATGTTTTTTATTATCTTAAAAATAACTTTAATATTTGATACTTTTCATTTTTTTAATATTAAATATTTATTTAAAACAAGTTGGAAAAAGGTTAGAAAAAAGTCAGGGAATTTCAGGGAAAAGTCAGGGAAACACCCGGATTAGTTTTCGAACATTTTTTTTTCTTCAAATTAATATTCTTTCTAACTTTCTTTCTGTAAAATTAATTTCGCACAAACTGACATTCGATCAAATTTAAATTTTGGTAAATTAATTTTCGTCTAATTAAAATTCCTGCAACATTGATAATAGGTTTAATGAAAATTCTTAAAAATTTAATATTTTCCAAACGTATATAATATTCTACAGAATCATAACTTTAAAAAATTTGTTTATATCTAATCTAACAAAAAGTTTCTAAAATATAATTAAAGTTTCTAGGTATAGAATCGCGTGAACAGATTTAAATATATAACATTATCAGTCTATAAACTAGATAAGGTCTAGTTTTCCATAACAAATTTCCAAACGGGTTGTTCACAATGCGAATATCTTAGTCATCTGAAATTGACTCTCAAAGCAGGAACTGTTATAATTCTTCAAAATTCTTCGGATAACTATACAATTGAGCACCATAATGCAAGAACCAGATATAACCCATTGAAATTACATGCGCTATGTCTGGTTCTTTCATCAAGGTGTTCAATTGTTCTTCAAATCTATAGTTGCATGGACAAACGAACAAAGAACGATTTACTCATTTACAGTGTATATTGGACATTTTAAGGAGAATAGACGCAAACTATGTAATAATTTTTGAAATTAAAAAAATTATAATTACTTCATTGGGTTTTCAAAAAATCACATTCAAATCTAAATTTCAAATCTATTTTAAATGAAATTCTATGTGTTACCGTTTTCAAAAAATTCGTGAATTTTTTTTTATTTTATCACGTTATGTATACATCTATAAAATCTTAAAAATCTAAATTACTTTTTTGCAACACTAATAACCTCTAAAGTTAAATTTTACACACCAAAAAGTGTGTGAAAAGAAGCTCTTTTTCAAACGGTGTGTAAAGTGATTCACTTTACGCACTGAAATTTACTTTACGCACCGAAATTTTTCCCACATAATATAAGGATTGTTTTAGACCATACAAAACCACAAAATTAAAAAAGAACTTTACTTTTAAATTTATACACTACTGGCTAATGATATTTTTCCTGATCTTCGATTGATTTATTTAATTCTATACAATCGAAATTATTCTAATAGCGAGTTGGAATTCTTCATAATAGGTACTTAACTTTAGAGGTGGGTGTTGCAAAAAATGTTGTATGATACACGTGCGTAAATCTGATTATACTCGTGTGATTTGCTGCAAACGTCACACTCGTATAATCACTCACTTTACCCACTTGTATCATAAATAACTATTTTATTTATTCCTATATATTTTTAAAATCATAAATTACATACATATTCGTTAATTAATTTATTGCGAATTAAATAAATATTGTGAATACATTATTTGATTATTATATTTTATTGACATTAACACGTGATGAAATAGAAAAAAAATGTTCACGGATTTTTCGAAAACAAAAACATAGAATTTCATTTCAAAGAAATTATTTTAAACCTTTAAAAATATTTACAAGTCATGATATATAAAACATTTTTGTCTGCATTAGCTTTAAGAGTAATTCAAACTAAAGACATGATTTCGCAAAACTTCATTCAAATCCCAATTAATTATGAAAATTAGTATTTCAAACTGGCGTGAAATCTACAATAACTTATTGCTTAATATCTTGTAAATAATACATTTGTGATTATGATAATCAAATATTCAATTCTAGTTAAATATGAGAAAAGAAAAATGTATTTTTTCAAAATAAGTATGTATCGCAATTTTTATTTTTATTAGCACTACATCGCGTACTTATTCTCACAAGTTTCGTCATGCTTTTTGTCGGATCAGAAGCCGGAAAAATTGAAGTGCCATTCATCGATTTACCAGAAAATTGGCATGACCTTTTTGGGCCAACGGGCTGTTTCACAGGTCTGTTTGCTTTTAGGTTTTGGATAATACATCTCTTTGATAGTAATTGAAAGCCCTTCTAAGGTCAAATGATTAATTATTTTATTATTATTATTATTATTATTGTTAAAAAACAAAAACAATTTGCAATTATTTAATACTTTAAATATAATTCATAAACTAAACATTTTTTGCTTTTCTACACATATTTATTTTTCTCCCATTTCATTATTCATTTTAATTATATGATTCCTTATTTTCTTACCCTATATTTACAGCTTTTCAGATGTCGTCAACTTATATACATATAATGAAGACTTGAAAACAATTCATGTTTAGTTATATATTTATTAAAAAAAAATAATTGCATTCTTAATGATTATTTTTATTAAAAAATGAGATTTTTTTATAATCGTCTTTTTCTTTTGTTTCTCACAGGGACAATGGTTAATGTAAATTTACAAGTAACGTTGGCTAAAGATCAAATAAACTCCATGACCCTCCAAAATCAACCGAATATGCAACAGTCACAAAAAAATGCAATGGAACAAAATAAATTTACAATTCTTGAGGGTAATGATGATTCCATCATTGATGATTCAAATCAAAATCATGCCAACGGGACAAATTCAAATTTGGCAAACATGAAAGAAAAAACACCAATGTGCTTAGTAAATGAGCTGGCTAGGTTTAATAAAATTCAACACCAATATCGATTAACAAACGAGCAGGGACCAGCACACAAGAAAAGATTTACAGTAACATTAAAACTTGGTGAAGAAGAATATGTCGCTGAAGGTCCTAGTATAAAAAAAGCTCAACATAGTGCTGCCAGTGAAGCGCTTACAAAAACATGGTACAGACAACCACCGCCAAAACCACCAAGAGCATTGAGAGTACCAGGCAAATGTCCTGCTGCTTCAGGTAATTTTTATTCAACTGAAAAAACATTCAGTCTTTTTTTCTCTTATACTATAATTAGTTTATATTTTGTTTTTCTGCAGGTCACTTGCCACCAACAGTTGAACTTAATGCTTTAGCAATGAAAAGAGGCGAGCCAACTGTTTATACTTTTAGGCATGCACCACCAGCAACTCCACAACAATTCGTTGCACACGGCTTTGGAAGCTTTCCTCGGATGTTTCCTCCACGTTATCCGACATACAATCGCGGATACCATCCAGAACCTCAGGGATTTTACCTCGTTACTTTAAAGGTTTTTTTTTCTATATTTCTTTCTTTTTAAACTTGTAACAAAGGGAATATTAAACTTGATTTAAACGGCGTCTTCCCTTAATTAAATAATTATTTTACTACTAAAACTAATCTAAGGTAATAGGAAACGCATTTGTCGACCCACGGTGAGACGCAATCAACGCCGAAACCAGAATTTCCTTTGGACTCAATGTAATAATACTTACAATTTCCTCAGTATCAGATGACTGGACTACAGATACCACTGACAAAATGAAACGACCATCCAACTTCCAATAAGCCGCTAATGAACTGAGACACTCGTCGAAATAAAACTCACGATCTTATTCGAACAGATGCAACTTTATTTATTTCCACTTGACGCAATTACAATAATCTTAACAAACCCGAGAATTAAATAAAACCCACCGACTTATCCCTATCGACGATCGATGATGTGTGTGTCGATTTCCGCTTCGACTGCTCCTTCAATCCTCTCGTTCGTACATTTTCGCCGGAACTCGTCAATCGGCGCACAAAGTTGCGAAAATGACCATTTGGGTCAATTACAAAAATAATTGAAGTATCAAAAATATAAATTTACTTAAAAACAAGAACTTTGGCCCAGGAAATAACCATTAAAATTTTTATTTAATAGAATTATAATAATAATCAATTGTAAAATGTTATTTTGTCATTTTAACAGGTCGGAGAACGTGAATTTATTGGAAGAGGAATGACTGGACAAGCAGCTCGACACGATGCAGCTGGTCGAGCTCTGGAACAATTACGACAACTTCCATTGCCCGAAGAAATCGCTAATACGTGTGCGACAAATGAAAATGGAACCATAAGCAGTATTGATGATCCTAATGCTGAATTAAAAAGTCCCGTTTCATTAGTTCATGAGACTGCATTAAAAAGAGGATTATCCGTAACTTTTGAAGTTGTATCCGAAAGTGGGAAACCTCACATTCGTACTTTTATGACTAAATGCTCGGTGGGCGAAAAAATGACTGTTGGTGAAGGATCATCAAAGAAAGTAAAATATCCTTTAATTTTACATTATTCAAACTTATATATATTGAATTTTTATACAATTTTTAATATTCATTTCTTTTTTTAAGGTGTCAAAAAAACGAGCAGCAGAGACAATGTTAGAGGAATTAAAACGACTTCCATTAATACCGGCGAATATTCAACCTCGTACATTACGTCTCAAACGAAAACCACCAACAACTAAGAAAAAGTCAAGAAATTTGATTAAAGTTTATCAGGAACCACGTCAGGAAGCAGAAATTATTGAGGAAGTAAATCCAATATCGCGTCTTGTTCAAATTCAACAGGCCAAACGAGAGAAGGAGCCTATTTACAATTTAATTGAAGAAAAAGGTGCTCCGAGACGAAGAGAATTTATAATGGAAGTCACCGTTGGACAACATTCAGCTCAAGGAATAGGACCTAATAAGAAACTTGCAAAGAGAGCCGCTGCCGAGGCTCTTTTAACTGCCATGGGATATAGTAAGCCTCAACCTCAACCAGCAAAACCATCAATTAAAATGGGCGATAAGGACAATACTGAGGGAAAATCAAGAAAAGTCACTTTCTTAGAGGATGAACAGACCAATGATACTCAAAGTCATCCTACTGGAGGTATTTTTATTAATCTTCTTCTATTTATCAGTGAAATTTTCATGAAAATGCTTTTATTGAATAATGAGAAGCGTACAAATCACTTGTGTCTATTGTAGGAACCATTGGACGTCAACTAGTTCCTGGACTTCTTCTAATGGACGGTGGTCAGGATTCAAAAATTGGTAGCGGACCTAGTGTTCAAGTAGTTGCTGAAGAGCTTCGAGGGCAACAGCAGCAACAAATACCGTCTGGCGTATCTCCTAGGGACCAACTTAAATACTTGGCACAATTGTTAAACTTCGAAGTGGAATTCAGTGATTTTCCAAAGGTTGGTGAAATATATTGTATATTTTATTTATTTAATTCAGAGATTTACGAGCAACGTCCTTTCGTACATATAGGTATTAAATAATATTTAATCTACATCTAAAGCTATATTTAACATTTTATAAATTAACTTTGCATTCAAAATTCAATTTTTTCTCTATTGGGAGTTTAAATTTACAAAACGCCCCTATCGATTCCTCTGGGAAATATCCAAAATGGCCGTCGCCATTGTGCTAAATGTGATTTGTATACCAAGTTTAAAAATTTGTCGACAAACAAGATTTTAGAGAATTTCATTTAGACAGTTTTTTATTAACAAACTTGCTTTTCATTGCACACAATTTGAAAAATCACTACGGCCGGCGTCGGCCATATTTTGCCCGCGATGGTAGTTTTCTTTGATAATAAAAATAAAATCATACCGAAAATTGAAAGGTTTTATAAATAAAAAATCAAGCACAGATTGTCAAATACATAAATCCATAAATTGAAGAAATATAGAGTTTGAAGTATAAAAACTAAAAAATAAACATTAACCATAAATAATAAATCTAAAATTAAATAAATTGGGTCGCATGAATTTCCCATAAAAATCATAAATTAGAATTTTTATTTTAAAGTATTTTATTAGAAATAATTATTTTTTTTAACGAATTTTCAATTTTCGAATTAAAATTTGTCAGATTTACTTTTTATATGAATTTTTCCATAACAAAATTTTTAGTTACCGAATTTTTGTTTGGCAGAATTTTTTATTTTACATTCGTTTTCTTTACATGACTTTTTATTTAAAAGAATTTTAATTTAAGCTAATCACAATGTGTAATTAGTTAATTTTAAAAATGGCTGTTTCTATTTCGCCCGCTCGGGCGAACTAATTCATTTCTGTTATTTCGCCCGTCGCGGGCGAAATAGATACGACTGTGTGAACTAGCTATTTCGCCCGTCGAAATGAATGTGTTTTAGAAGACGGGCAAAATAAGAAAAATATATTATTTCGCCCGTTCAAGATAAAATCGAGTATCTGGAAGACGGGCGAGTATATTATTTCGTCCGTGAAATGTTTAAACAAAAACGGGCGAAATAATCAAAATACAATATTTAGCCCGCTAGGTATAAACAGCTGTTGTATATTTCAATTTACAAACTAAAATTATTTTAACTTTTATTTTGCAATTTATGTTAAATATCATATATTTGATAAACAAATTTGATGGTCTCATTAATTTTTTGTGTTTCGATAAAAAAAAGGGTTTTTCTGATTTCTTTCTCAGCAGAATCATGGTTTTATATATCAATGTGAGATTATACTCTGTATAGTATATTCTTTAAATATTGAAAACGACGGTGCGTTGTTTGAAAATCTATTTGGTATCGAAAGTAGTTCATATGACATTCTTTATTTTGATTGTCTTCAATTTTATTTACTCGTTGAATTTAGAGATGCAAATATACAAAAATTTCAGAAATAGTCGATTTTTGAATTCTTATTTAAATTACAAAATTAAAATCCACAATTTTTATTACCAAAGTTTAATAAACAAAATTTTTAAAAAATTTTTTTTCATTTTTCATGAAAAAAATTTTTTAAAATGATTTTTTCAATTTTTAAGAAAAAATTTTTTGCAATTTTTTCGTCAACAATTTTTAATAGAAAAATTTATAAAAAATATTAAAAAATATTATTAATTATTTGAAAAAATATTAATATTTTTAAATCGATGACGATCAATTTTAATGGTTTTCGACTTCAACATCGTAATTTTAATTAGTTAAATTTAATAATTATAATTTATAATTTTAATATTTGATTAATTTTTTTATAATTTTAATTATATTTATTTACCATTACTATAAAATATTAATTTTTTTTAATTATTTAACAAGAGTAATTAATACCTCTATAAATATATTAATTTTTTTTCCAATACAATTTCTTAGATTAAATAATTATTATTCTTTAAAGTCACGTCTCAAAAACGTGTAAAATAAATATTTGAAAAATCTTCAAGTTAATAATTACAAACAAATTGTATGTTACAAATATTCTCAAAACTTTAATTAATAAAATTTTTTGAAAAAAAATAGAAAATAATTAAGTATTAATTTTAAGAATTTTTAAGAACTTTTTTTTTATTTAAATTTCTTCTATTTTATTAAACCAAATACTCCAAAAGATATAAATAAATAATATTAGACCTATACTCAGACGTCTTTTTTCTATCCATCTTATTTGTTATATTTAAAAACAGTAAAATTATTTTTTCTCATTATCTAAAAAACAGCTGTCTATACTTAACGGACGAAATAATATACTCGCCCGTCTTCCAGATACTCGATTTTATCTTGAACGGGCGAAATAATATATTTTTCTTATTTTGCCCGTCTTCTAAAACACATTCATTTCGACGGGCGAAATAGCCAGTTCACACAGTCGTATCTATTTCGCCCGCGACGGGCGAAATAACAGAAATGAATTAGTTCGCCCGCGACGGGCGAAATAGCCACTCCGTTTAAAAATTGCGCCGAAATCTTTCTGTCGATTGTTTGCTCGGCCATTTGTAATTTCGGATAAATGAAAATTTGGCTTATTGAAAAATTTTCTACAAAATAAAAATTGTGCAAAACAAAAATTCGATAGCTAAAAATTTTGTTATGTTAATATTCGTATAAAAAGAAAATCTATCAAATTTTAATTCGAAAATGAAAAATTCGTCTGAAAAATAATTATTTCTAATAAAATATTTTAAAATAAAAATTCTAATTTATGATTTTTATGAAAAATTTATGCGCTCCAATAAATGCGGTAAAAATATTTGACCTGAATTTATAAAATTAATAATTATTTTTACATAACTGAAATTCGACTTTTTAAAAAAAAAAAAATTGAAAAATACCAAAAATGTGATTTTTTAAATTGGCATTTTATTTGAGCTTTTCTTAATTTTCAAACAAATAGAAATAGTCAAAAACAGCATATTTAGAATAAATCGACATTTTCTACCGATTTTCTATAATCTGACTTCAAATTAGTAATCAGTGACCCCAAAAATCCCCAAGTAACAAGTTTCAAGAGAATTTAAACCGTTTTTAAAAAAAAATCGTCTGCCATATTGGACCCGCCATTTTGAATTTTACAGTTTAAAGGTTAGAATTGAAATGAGCGATCTGAAAAACACATGAATGCTAAATTTCAAGCAAATCGGATAAGCATTATTTATTAAAAAATACAATATGTTATACCTACAATTAGTTATTTTATATGTTAATTAATAGTTTCAGGGACTCTACAGGGAGTACTTATCACTTGTGTCATTGAACACAGATCCACCTCAGGTTTGCCACGGTCATGGAGCGACAAAGGCAGCTTCTCAAGACCAAGCAGCACTTACAGCTTTACGCACACTCAGCAAATTGGGATTAGACAGTGTGACTAATTCACAAAACAAAAAAGATAAAGGCGCTGCTGGTGATGGTATTCACGTAAACAATCAGGTGAAAAATAACATCATTAACGGAGCTATGGATAAATAAGGAATTGAGAGAATACAATAGCCAGCTTTATTACTGTTAATTTGCTTATTACAGTATAATAATTATTATTCAAGTAATAATTCAAATCTTTGAAAGTTCTTTTAAAGACAAAAAAAAGAAAAGAAAAGAGAATTGTTGAAATTCCATTTGCTTGGGTGTCAATGAATCTGAATATTTTATTTACATTGTTTTACTATGTTTCAAAAAAAAGGAAAATAATTTTTTAGAGTTATTTAGTTCATGGACTAGATTTTATTGACATGGAATATATTATCTTTATGTTTTATTTTTTACACTTTTGCCAATGTTCTAACGAATTGTGAGATAAAATCCGGTCCATCATTTTTATAATTTCAATTACATAATTTGCTATTTATATTTGAATTGATTTTAATTTTTTTTTTCTTGAAAAAAAATGAAAGGTAAAAAAATCCCTTTATTATTTATTGACGCCTGACCAATATTACACAGTAACGTTTACGTTACACCAAGTATTTTTAAGACTATGTGCTATTTATTATTACAATTTAAGCCAACAACACACAGGTTAGGAAAACGTAAAACAAGAAAAAATACACATCTTCATTATTTGTAATTTGCGTTTTGCTGAACAGTGTGTGTGTTAAATCTTTACCAACAATGTATTAAGAACATTAAATTCTTAATACACCGTGGTCATTTTCCAAACGATTGTGGTTTATGGCCATCGAAAAATATATATAATAATTTTTGCTAAATCTGAGATGAAATGCGGCCATCTCAATTTTACAATACTGATACCTTGGCTGTTTCATTGTCATGAATGTAAGGCTTCGTCCAATTACCTAACACCGTCAACTACAATTTTAATTGAAAAAAAAAAACTATAATGAAAATTTAACATCAACTTTCAAGATTGCTATTATCAATTGTGAGAATTTATTGATTTGAAAACAAAAATTTTGTTCAAAATTATAACAAGAATAATGAATTACTAAAATAATATTTCATTGAAAATACATAAATGTTGACGGCGTAAAATATGGCATTCCTAAAATATTTTCAATTGGTGTAAACGATCTGATTATTAAGATTTTTAGGTTACGTTACATAATTCTTAGTAGAAAAAAATCTTCTTTTTTTTTACTTATTTTGTATACCGCAGTGCGGTGCAGTTTTGAGAATTAAAACCACTTTTTGTTTTTTTCTAAAAAAAAAAAAGAAAGAAAAAAGAGGGAGAATAACATTCAATAAATAGAATCTAATTGTTGATCGTAAAACTATAAAGGAAATATTAGCATTAAAATGGTAACATTTCCTTCTCCCCATAAAAAAAGATAAATAACCTAATAAAAAGTAAATAAAATTAATAGGTAATTCGATGTGTAAGCTGTTTTTGTGTCCCAATTTGCTTTTCTATGGGGCCTAGAAGCATTCTGGGAAAAAATATTCATGTTAATGTTGTATGAGGTATTAAGAAAACGAAAAAGGTTTGAAATTTTCTCATGCTACTAAAAATAAAAAAAAATTGAATTAAAATAGTAGCTTGATCTATTTGAAAATTTCAACAAAAGGGCAAAGAAACGGAAATAGTTCAAAATTTATCTCGTTGCGTTAAGATTATTGCAAAATTAAAACTGAATTTTGTTTAAAAAGAATCTTGAAACAACGCCCTGAATTTTGATTTATTGCCCGTTCTTTAAGGCCAATTGATAATGTTAATAATTGTAGGCCATTTAGGATCCCAGTACACACTTTGAGCGAGTTTTGTTTTTTTTATAATTGCAACCAACATATATAATTTTATTTTAATTTTAGCGAAACTCGGGTTTTATGACGAAATTATATCGCAAAGTTTTGTACTCGTGACCCTAAGCAAAAATGTAATCTTGTATTTCATTTTATTTATATTATTTTAATTTCGATATTATTAATTTTGATTGATTGAACCTGTAAAAATCGTATTAATTTTTTAATTGAAAGACAATTTGTTTTCATTATTGCGAATATTGAATTGTTTCAACGTTTAAAAAAAAAGAAGAAAAAAAAATTATCGTAAGCTGCGTTGCGTGAAATCGCTCTTTTTTCTACTCTCTTCCCTTATATTTCATTTAACTTGATTCCAATTTTATTTCAATGAATATACTTCAAGCTGAAGATGTTTAATTTCTTTGAAAAATATAGCTTTATAGGTATAGATAGGCAATAATCCGTATGCGATTTGTTATATGTACTATAAGGTTTAGGCTTAGACTTCGATGCAGACATTAGTTTTGCTAAATAATTATGGAATACGAAATTCCTACAGATTATATGTCTGCAACGATTCTATATTTTATCCGTACAATGTGTAGATACTACACATGCTAGAGTTAATGAAAAAGAAAATAAATAAAAGTATTACATAAATTAATAAACGACAGACAAAAGGTGTACAATATTTGAAAGAAAAATTAAAAATGGATCAAGTAATTCGAAATACGCCTATCACGCTCTGTATATTAATCAATTAATCATATAAGTTTTTAAATGGTTTGTCATCTTCACTTGCAGGTCTTTCAATTTTTAATTATTATTATTTCATAAAATCCAAAAATTATGGATTAATTCGACTAAAAAAAATTGTTTTTCTTCATTTTTATCGAGCTGACGATCTAATGCGTAATTAAAATTATTAAAATTCTTCCAACTATGATATCATGGAAGATAAGTTATTTGTAAATTAGAAAAAGAGGATTATTTTTCTTTTTATTGAAAAAGCATTAACGTGTAACTCGGTAGAAATGAGATTTAGTGTCGATAGAAGTGAAAATTGTGTGATAAATTTACGCAGACATGGCTTATGTAGTTCTCGTTTATCGATTTGTAACTGAAATCAATAAACTGCTTCAAAATAGATTAATGTTTTATTTTATTATTTGTAACAGAAGAATTTTTTTAAGTCTATATATAAAAGTCTCCAGTACGTGCGAAGAAAAAAATACTGAAAACCCTCAAAAACATGATTTTTGGGGTATTTATCTCCATTTTTTCAAAATCCCGACGTGATACACAATTTTGGAACCCGGGATCGTATTCAGCACATAAAAATACATTGGAAACCACTTTGATATCTAAAAAAAAAACCTTGAAGACCTGTGTTACTGACCCTGGAAACCCCCGAGACAAGTTTCAATGAAACCTATCAATTTTTTCAAACGCAAACTTCAAACATAAGGATATCTCATACAAAAATAAATATTTTTAAAAGTTCTAAACTGCAAATTGTTCAGGAAGATATGAGCTTTCAAATGCAAATCAAGAATACTTCAAAAAAAAATTTTTTGTACCGTTATAAAAAATCAAAAAGTACCCTAAAAACGGCATTTTTCCAATTTCAAGGTCAATTTTTTTGAAAACCTAGACGGTGATGGAGCAATTTTGAGTTTAGATTCGTGTTCAGCGTCAAAAAAAAACCTGTAAGAATCACCATGTGCGACCCCAGAAATAAAAACAAAAAAGAAATTCTGTTGCACAGTGTTACGAATTACCCTCGAGTAAAGAATTTTAAGTAAATATTTGAAAAGCTCCACTGAATAACGATCTATGGCACAATTGAAAAGTTTGGTTATGAGCATGCAAAAAACATAAATTTTCTTTAAAATGATAACAACTCTACGTGAATTATTATTACTATAATAGAATTAGTAATAATTATACTGTGTGATAAATAACAATTTACATATTATACTTATTACCAATTTCATGAAAATTTACGTTTTTTGAAAGCTCATAACCAAACTTTTCAATTGTGTCATAGATCGTTATACGGTGAAGCTCTTCATTTTATGAATTAAAAAATAAGTCGCCATATTGAATATGCCATTTTGAAATTTGAAAATCTGAGGACAGATTCGTTGTCAGCGACTCCGGAAACTTACAAGAAGTTAAAACATAAAGGTGCATTCACAGCTCAGTTACTTGAGGAGAGTCGTCATGGCAACGAGTCGATTAGCCTATATAAAGTTCATATTTTACTGAAATCTATAGTTTAAATAATTTTTTTGAATTTTTTAAAATAATCGTTTTTTTGTATTTTTTGAAATAACTTTTTCTGATATAAAAATTTTAATTAATTCTTGTCAAAATTGTATTCCTGGCATAAAAACGAATCGATTGATGTATACAAAGTTTACATTTTACTAATATTTATTGGCGATTCAAACAGCTACACTAGCGCCACAGTTGAACTAATTTAGGCGTGACTCGCTCTGTAGCACTCCATGTGTTTTAAATTATTTTTTTTTATTTAACGCTTAAAAATAATTTTACAAACGCAATAAAAATATCAGAATAATTAAATAATTTGAAATAAACTGTCAAAACAGAGACTGCTTTAGAGCGAGTCACGCCTAAATTAGTTCAACTGTGGCGCTAGTGTAGCTGTTTGAATCGCCAATAAAATTGATCGCTATTTTAGTTGTAATCCTTCTTTTAATCTTGAATATAAGTGTATCATGATGAGAAAGCTAAATGGTCATGAAATGAACATCTAGTTTTTTCGTTGGTTGGTGTCGATATAATGCGCACGCTACTATTTTAATAATCCTAGATTTTGGTTTCAATAATTAATCAAATCTAATAAATAATTAACTAACTACTTTTAAATTAATTCTAATTTATTGTGGAGACTACTTCACTTCCTTATGCTGGCTCTTCACAATGAGCACCTTATGCAGGGTTGGACAGTTACGCGTAACACGAGTATCTTTTGGTTGGTAACTTTATTTATAAAGTTACTAAATTTTCACTAGAGCAGGGTGCAGTAGTTGACAAGATTTATGACAAATGGCGAGTGTGGACAATGGAAACCAACCTTTCTACTTACATGGGAATGCACCCTTACATTCGTTTTTATTTGTGAGTTGAAAGTTCGCGGGGTTTGCGGTATCCAATATGTCAGCCATTGGAGCAGTGAGCTGTGATTGGATGACTTCTTTTTACTTGCGCGTGGCGATACCTTGCTATTTGAATCATGCACGACTCAACAACCATTCGATTCGAGCACGTTCTTTCGAGTCGAGACACGAGTACACAGCAGAATCTGCTATAGTATGCAGAAGTTTGTATGTTGTTGTAAAGGATCACAGGGATAGAAGGAACGGAATCATGATCCAAGTGGAACGGAATAGAATACGCAGAGATACAGTACAGCACAGTCGCCAGCATGTCGCCAGTCGTGAATGTTGAATGATCAAGATCTTGCCCATTAAACGTAGCAACAATGCGCGACCAAGAGCAGAGTTTAGCTATCTAGTGGTTTATTTAATACGAAAAATACCAGGCTCTCGGACGGGCCCTGGTTACGAACTTTTATTATAGCGAAAATGACTATAATAGTCTTTTTAATCGACACGTCCGCCTCCATGAATCAGAGAGCATATCTGGGTGGTCGACCAACGCTCCTGGACGTAGCCAAAAGCGCAGTTGAAACTTTCGTTAAGGTAATGTTTTTCTATGCTTTTTCTCATTGCCTTCTCATGTCATATGTTCGTTACCATTTTCTAACCCACATTAAACCGGTTCCTCATGTTATTATTTCTTATTTTTCTTTAGTTTAACGACGTGGACCTCTTTTTTTTCAATTCCAGGTGCGGCAAAGGTCACCGGAGAGTCGCGGGGATCGTTACATGTTGCTGACCTTCGAAGATCCGCCACAAAATATTAAGGTAAGCAATTTTTTTTTTTTTTTCATTTTCTCTCTCCCTCTTTCTTTTCTCTCGGCTGTGTTAATTTGTATGTTCTTAGTCCGTATGCTTTTAAAGATTGCTTTAGCTCCGCTCTGCTTTGCTCTGCTCCGCTCTGACCTGCTCTGCCATGTTGACGTGCCAGCACGACTGACATGACGATCTCTTTTTCTAGTCGCACTGTATTTGCAGTAAAATTGCGACGCGCCAATTTCTATTTTCCCCTTTAGAAAACAGAATTTTTAACCAAGAACATTTAAAGTTTTCGGTAAACGACGATTTCACCTGCACTCATAAAACTTGTATTTTCTAATAAAAATTTTCATATGTACGCATGCTATTCCTTCTTCGTCATCTCACCGAAGAGTGAGTGTTGGCGTTTCCAAATTGAGAGTTTTTTTCATACACATTGAAAGTATAAGTATTGTCTTGACTCTTTCTCTCTCTCTCACGTTTGTATGACAAGCGCAGAAAATTTGTATACTATCAAGTATACATTGATACTTACATGTATATGCGGAAAACTCCCAATTCGGAAACGGCCTGTTGGTTGGATCAGATCATGGTGCGGTGTTGCATTGTGGGTAGTGCAGCTGACCACGCTTCTTGGAGGGGGATGCGTCAACAATCTGTTTATCCCCTTATTCCGCACCTCCACCCGAGATGCCATTTTTTTATTCCTTCATCACATGGGTCAATCCACTGATTTTCGCCTCTTAGAATAATTGTTGTTGGCAAATATTTTTTAAAATGTTCAAAATTCACATATTATGTCTTCTGTCAACAAATTTATCATCAATTTCTAAAGTTGTTTTAATTAAATATTGTTTATTTTACAGTTGTAAATTATAATTATATATAAATGTGGGCAAATCCACGGAACCGTATGATTTCATGTTACTAATGATTTAAACCATTTTAATTATACCATTTTTTTTCCTATTGGTAACTTTTTTTTTAACTAACATATTTTACAGAAAAAGATAATAAAATGATAATTTTTTATGCTGCTTGTGTGAAATAAAAAATTATACAGAAACTTAAGAAATTAAATTTTGGCTTGTTACTTTCGATATTTTTTTGATTTTTATGAGTATAGTTTTTTCAACATAAAACATAATCGTTTGACTTTTATTAATACACGGAAAGAAAGTTAATATCAAATTTTATAAAATTATTTTACAATATTGTTGGACAAAATGCGACAAAGCGAAATTTTAATATCAAAAATACTAAACTTTAAAAAAAAAATTTTATGTAATTTAGTAAAGTTATATCAAATGTTAAATACGTTTAACAAATTTTAATATAACTTTACTAAATTTCATATAATGTTTTCTAAAGTTTATAGTATTTCTGATATTAAAATTTCGCTTTGTTGCATTTTGTCCTACAATTGTATAAAATTTGTTATTAACTTTCTTTCAGTGTAAATGCAACTTTTGTAGTATAAAATGAGATTTTACCGAAATTCTAAATAACATGCAATAATTTCCAAAAATCAGATTCGAAAAACTTTTAAGAAAAAAAAACTCATAATAGACTTGAAAATTTTGTCAAAAAATCTTAAAACTATTGTTAATTAATTTCTAAAATATTGGGGGGTAGATGCTAATCTTACGTAAGATTTTGCCAAGTATTTTTCATTTGTATTGTTGTAATTAATTTTTTAATTATATTAATATTGTTAAAAACTTACATAAGAAGGGTGAGGGGGGGGGGTCCGAAAAATCTTATGTATCCTTACATGGGGGTAGGGTGGGTCAAAATTAGCCAAAATCGTCCTTACGTAATTAATGAATGGCGCCTTAATAACTTATTAATAAATATTTATGAATTTCAATATTTTTGCTTTCTCATGGAAAGTACTTATTTAAATTTTAAGTTAAAATTGTAATTGTTACGATTTTTGAGTTATTTATTCATATATTTTGACACAGAATAAAATCATAATTTAAATCAAATGTAAACAATATAAATTCGTACATCCAGTAAGTTATAGTCATAAGCAGTTAAAAATGAAAAAAATATAGATGTACCATTTTTTCAATTATTTTATAAAATTGTTTATATTTAACTCAGTGTTTTAATTTTACAATTAAGTTGTAAAAAGAAGAAATAATTTTGATAGTTAAAATTGAATAAGAATGCAATGAAATAATTTGGAAAATATATTTTTTTTATCAGTAGGGTCAGTTGGGATAAATGGGGACAAGAGGTTTTGGAGCTTAATTTACAGTTTTAAAATTAAGTTCAACGTCAATATTTTAACCTCAGATCACCTGCAAGAGGTTTTTTAAGCTTTTATCTTGACAATAGGCAGCAAGATAAAAAAAGTTATAGCGCAATGCATAAAAACTTGAAAATCAAAGTCAAACTGTTTCAGTATTTTGTCGAGCATTTCAAAGAAAACAGACTTAAAAATCATACCAAATTTTTTTCTTATTCCTTATGACTCCTATAACACAAATTCACTTGAATTTTTGATTTTTGTCAATTTGGTTAATAATGACAAGCTTTCCCCATTTACCCTGAGTTTTCAAATTTTTGATGTAAATGGGGACAGCTTGTCATTATTAACCAAATTAACAAAAATCAAAAATTCAAGTGAATTTCTGTTATGGGAGTCATAAGGAAGAAGAAAAAAATTTGTTATAATTTTTAAGTCTTTTTTTCAAATGCGAGACAAAATACTAAAATAAAAAAAAATAAAAAAAATTTAATTGGTTCAACTATTATATATCTACTACAAATTTTTTTCAAGTTTTTTTCATCCCTTAATACAGTAATATACTTAAGGAAACTTTTTTCTCAAAACTTTCTTAGAAACTATGCTTTCCCCATTTACCCCGAATTTTATGAAATTTTCTAAATTTTGGGGTAAATGGGGACAGTCAGTTTCATGCGTTTAAAGCTTATCTAAATTTTTTTCTGCTGCATAAAATTCATCCTGATGGGAATGTAAATAACAACTTAAAAAAAATAAACCCGCAAATATTACCTTTTAAAGGAAGAAACTTACGTAATTTGTGAAAAATAGCGATTTTGTCCCCATTTACCCCAACTGACCCTAATTGTTAATATTAGTTTTACTTATTTATATTATTTAGTTGTAGGAAAAAAGAAAAATGTAATGTGAAAGTTGATTTTTCAATTTATCTGTTCTATTTTTAAAAGTTTGATTTATTAAAAAAATGTTAGTTAATTACATCAGCAGCTAACTTCAGTTTCACAAATCTACTTTTCCTAAAACCCTTTAAATTCGCTTTTAAAAATAAACTTATTTAAAAAGATTAAACTTAAAAAATAGCACGTTCTCCAAAGCCAATGTTTGATTTTTTTCATGTTCTGAATGTTCAAATAAACGAAATAATTATTTTGATGTGTAATTTAAAAAAAAATTACTACAGCAATGAACAATAATAAAATACATTAAACAGTTAATAAATTATTAATTTATTTTTGGATAAAGAAAACAATATTTTATAATAAAATTTAAAGTTCAAAAGTAGTAAACAAATTTTTTGTTCATTTGAACGTTCAAAAATATTAAAAAAGGATTTACTAATTTTGTAGAGAAATAAAAAAAATGTTAAATTTTGATATTTCACATTTATTTTTTTTGTAAATCAATTTTTGCCTAATATTTTAGTTTTGTTAATGCAATAAGATAATAAGAAGTAGGGTGGCGATATAACCAGGAAACCAGGAAATGACGGGAAATTTAAAAAGTGACCAGGAAATTCATAGTTAAACCGAGAATTTTTTAGATATTCTAAAAGTTTATATCGTCTATTACATCTTGTTGCATTCATTTCTCAGAAAAATGTATTTTTAAAATAATAAGTATCCAATTATTTTTTTGTAGTAGTGCATTAATAAAATTTATTAGAAGAATTAATATTATAAAAAATAAAAAAGTTATACATTTTTTAGAAAAGTGGCCATTTTTTTTTGTGTGAAAGAATTAAATTATTTACAAAAATTGTAAAAGAAGATAAATATTTAAAATATTAATTTTTTTAAGACATTTAGTTTCTAAAATGGTCAAAAATTAAAATTTCATTTTTTGACCGCAACCTGTATGTTTTTAGGACCGAAATGATTCAAGAAAAAAAATATAATTTCCTTTGATCATTAAAATTTAAAGGAATCAAAATAAAGGTGGTGACTCCCCTTAAATTTCTATATTAGACGAATTAAAATATGCAAGTAACAATCCCTCAGTGGAGTCAGTGGATTTTCCTAACTTTGTCTAGTTCTTATTTTTAAAAAGTAGTTAATTTACTTTTAAAAATATATATTACTATATTTATCGATAACGTTTTTCATTTATTGTTAATTTATATAAATATTAACAAATAACGATATTTCGACAGCTGTCGTTATTCTTATCAAGTTAACAATATTTTATTACTAGAAAATAAAACCTCAGTGAAATTTCACTAATTCGTACACCAAGTACCTTAAGGAGGATGGAGGTCCTAACAGAATCTCAAAACTGAAAAATGGTTTTTAACGCAAACAAAACTTTAATAAAAATTAATTTTAAACAATTTTAGAAGGTCTAATTATACACTTTTCGGAAAAAAAAATTATGTTCAGTTAAAATCATTTGTTAAATAATTATTATTTTTTTTAACATTTTCACTTTTTTTCAGACCAGACAAAAATCGAAATTTTTAAAAACAATAGCTTATTTTACTCAGTGAAACATTCTCTACAATTGTAAACTTTTTTCAGTTGTTAAAAGTTTACGATTATAGAGAATGTTTCACTGAATAAAATAGGCTATTGTTTATAAAAAAAAAAATTGAATAAAAATTGTGATTTTTGTCTGTTCTGAAAGGAAAAAATCAAAATGTTAAAAAAATAATTAATTAACAATAGTTTTTCACCCGAAAAATTTTTTCCGAAAAGTTAATAACTAGATATTCTAAAATTGTCTGAAATTAATTTTGTTTTAAAAAAAGTTTTATTTGCATTAAAAATAATTGTTCAGTGTTGAGGTTATGTTAAGGATCCTCCTTAAAGTAAATAAAAATTAATTCTAGAAAATCAAGTTATTTACAAAAAAAAAGTTAAATTGTATTGTTATTATCAAATACATAAATGAATACGTAAATTACAAATAAACTTTGATAAAGAGTTATCCAAGAATTCTAGATCGTCAACACAATTGTTAATTTACATATTGTGTTTACTGTTGACTTGTCACTATACATATATATGTTTGTTTTTGAGTAAGACGAAGTATAAACGACACAAAATGTTGCAGTGACTTTTTAGAAACCAAAAAATTAAAAAAAAATTAAATTTAATATAACTGATGCAAAATGATTTTAAAAATATATTTTTATCTTTTTTTGATACAATAACTTATAAAGATGCACATATAAACAATTATTAATTAAATTATTTGAGATCAAATTTTTTCCCTCGCCGTAATTGAAACATTTTTAAGATTTCCATTGGCTTCAATTACGTGTATTTTAAAGATACTTTGCCGGCCGTAATTGAAGCCAATGGAAATCTTAAAAATGTTTTAATTACGGCGAGGTAAAAAATTTGATCTCAAATAATTAAATTAATAATTGTTTAAATGTGCATCTTTATAAGTTATTGTATCAAAAAAAGATAAAAATATTATTTTAAAATCATTTTGCATCAGTTATATTAAATATAATAGTAATAATAGTTATTTTTTATGAACGCGCCGTAATTGGTGCACTTACCCTACTTGGGCACATGATAACTATTTTTGAGTTTTCTTCAAAATTTAGCTCAATCCAAAAATTATTTTTCGAGGAAACCTGCGGAGAATATTTACATGTGAAGTCACAACATTCGTATGTCCTTAATCTATTTTTAATTTTTGAAAATGAAATTATTTATTAGGTTATTTAAACCGAAAAGAAAAAATTAAATTAAGGGGACTTTATTGTTTAGAATTGACAAAAAAACATGTTTTAAAACTTTTATTGTAAGAAAAGTATTAAAGAAATTGCAAAAATTCTTTTTGGACATTGCACAGTGGCCGATTTCTCGAAAAACCTGGCCAAAAATCGAAAAATGATACGATTTCAACCAAAATTGGTATACCCATGTTTTTTGGGCTTCTGAATTCAAATTTTACATTGGTTGTGTCAAATTCAAAATGGCGGATCCAAAATGGCCGTTTAGATTTTAAAAAACTTTGCTGAAAATCGAAAAATGATACGATTTCAATCAAAATTGGTATATCCATGTTTTTTGGGCTTCTGAATTCAAATTTTACATTGGTTGTGTCAAATTCAAAATGGCGGATACAAAATGGCCGTTTAGATTTTAAAAAACTTTGCTGAAAATCGAAAAATGATACGATTTCAATCAAAATTGGTATACCCATGTTTTTTGGGCTTCTGAATTCAAATTTTACATTGGTTGTGTCAAATTCAAAATGGCGGATACAAAATGGCCGTTTAGATTTTAAAAAACTTTGCTGAAAATCGAAAAATGATACGATTTCAACCAAATTGGTATACCCATGTTTTTTGGGCTTCTGAATTCAAATTTTACATTGGTTGTGTCAAATTCAAAATGGCGGATCCAAAATGGCCGTTTAGATTTTAAAAAACTTTGCTGAAAATCGAAAAATGATACGATTTCAATCAATATTGGTATACTTACGTTTACTGGGTTTCTGAAATCAAATTTTACATTTGTTTTATCAAATTCAATATGGCGGATCCAAAATATTTGCTGGTATTATAAAATTTGCGTAAATGTGTTAGAGCTTATTTTTTTTAAATTACAGACAGTGCTTAAATTTTAGTTTAAAGCGAATGCGAATGAAGAAAAAGTCAGTCTTTCACGTTCAGTTGCACCGCCGGCCGGTGCAACGCGCTGTCGGTAAACCGCGCTTAGTGAAATAAAAAGTGATACCAAAACTGCAGGGGCAGCTTGGGGCAACTGATTTCAATTAAAATGAATTAAAAATATATTCTAGTTTATGATAATACCAGGTAGATCGCGGATATCGGTGGATTTCACAACTATTTTCATGATTTACGTTGATAAAACAATACAAAAATCGTCGCCATGAATAGCGATGTTTAATGTCATTTTTTAAAAACTGTACGTTTTAAATGTGATTATAAATACATTCAACATATTTCATACACCTTTGTTAATAATTCCCAAAAAAAGATATTCAAAAATCTGCTGTATATTAGTATATTTTCACTATTTTAACTGTGACGAAAATTTATAGTTATGAAACGTTCTGAGTAAATCTCTGGCAAAGATCACTTTTACTTGTTCACATAATAAATTGGTGATAAAAAAAGTGTAATTTTTTTTCGCAAAATTATGCAGTGAACCCTCCTTTATAATATTCAACAATAAAAAGTATAAATTTCTAAAAAAAATTTTTTGACTTTTGGCCAGGTTTTTCGGGAAATCGGCCACTGTGCATTGTTGCACATTACGTAGAGAAAATTTTAAAAAAATGTTCAAGTGTATTTAGTTAAATTTCGTAGCTGTAAGTGGCATCTTCCAAAAAGTACCTTTTTTGGTGCACTTGATTACGGACAACCAGTAATATATAAATTCAAAAGGGAATCTCTTCATAAAGGTTTATTCTAGACAATAAACCTAAAAAACGATTTTTTAAAGGTTTTTTTTTTTTTCATTTTTTATGTACATACCTAGATAGGATCATATACAATTTTAATTTTTAAAAAGAAAATTAACTAAAACTATTTAAAATAAATTAATTGAATACATTTACAATAATCGTCTCTAAAATTTAAAAATAAATTGACAAAAATAACAACTATCATTTGTGCTCATAAACTCTAAGTCTTAACTTCTAGTGCTTTGCTGAAAATAGTTATAATCAATCATACTTTTTAACATTAAAGGCTATTGAAATAAAACTTTCTAGAAAAATTTATTATAAACTGCTTTAGCGGTTAAGTCAATTGAAATAAAACTTTCCAGAAAACTTTGTAATACACTGCTCTCTCGATTTAGTGTAGTTTAGTGGCTAATGACTATTTGGAAAGTAAGAGACGTATAGGGTAGAAAATAAGAAGGGAAGAAACAAGTTTTTCTTTTAAATCTAGGTTTTTATCTTTAAAACAGTATTAATTTTCACTATTGCCAAATTAGGAATATTGATAATATCGTTCATTCATTTTTAAATAAATTTTAAATATATTAAGTTAAAGTGAAAAACTAACTTAATTAAATTCAGAAACTTTTATGCTTTCCCCATGAGTCCCTGGACAGTACAATTCAAATGAATTATAAAATAGGGTGAGTTTTCTCAAGATAGTAGGTAAGATATCTTAAAATAAAAATATCAATTTTGGATATTTTTTCAAAATGGCATAATATTAATGAAAAGCAGTGTGACTCCACATACGGCTATACACAAGCATTCACCGAGCGTTTATAGTCTCTCCCGTCAGCCAACAGTAGGTATTAATTGCGCCGCGCCGACTTTGAAATTCATATTTTATAAAAGAATTATTCTTCAGTTAACATAATTTTGAATAATCCTATCATATTATATATTGCTGGATTTGTTACTGCCATACCATCAGGTTATTTCAGCCAAATCGATGTTTAGTCATAAATTTGACAAATTTAAAAAAAAAACACCTTTAAGTTTGAATATTTTATTACTAAATGTGAGAAAAAAAAACGAAATAAATTTAAGAAATAGTTTTTATATTGCTTATCCAATTCTGTTTTAAAGAAATTTATTAATCATAAAATAATAAATATAATTATTTTTTAGGCTGGATGGAAAGAAAATTTGGCCACTTTTATGAACGAACTGAAAAATCTACAATGCGTAGGTTTGACGACTTTAGGCGCTGCTCTGAAACATGCACTGGATGTTTTGAATATAAATCGCATGCAAACAGGCATCGATACTTATGGCCAAGGTAGATGTCCATTTTATTTGGAACCATCAGTCATAGTTGTTATCACTGACGGTGGAAAATACACAACCAACAATGGAGTTCACCAAGATGTAAGATATAATTTAATTCTACCAAGTGTCTGTAAATCAAAGATCCTAAAAAAATTCACGAGAATTATTTTAGAAATATTCCCAACGAACAAATTTAAGAACATTCATAGAAAATTATTTAAGAATGCATTTTTTGTAACCTGGAAATATCAGGGAATTTTTTTTTTACTTGTAGACACTCTGGTTTAAAGTAAAATGATAATTTGTTTACTTACTCGCAAATTATATATTATAATCATAAAATTTTTAATTCTATATTTTAAATATCTACAATTTTATTAAAAATTATTATTTTTCAATTAAATGTTTTAAATTAATTGAAATTGCAACATTCTCTTAATTATATTTTTAATGCAATACAATTTTATTTTCAATATAATTAATAAAATAAATTCTAAATTGAATAAAAAATTTAAAATATATCTATTATTTTTTCTTCAAATTAAAAACAAAACGTTCTTAACAAAATTTTCACTTTTTTCTATTTTTAACAAATATTTAAAGAACATTTTTAAATTAATTTACACTATTAATTTATTCACAATACAAATTAATCGTCTAAAAAGGTAAATTCATTAAATATTCATTCATTTAGCAATTAAATTTTTTTTTAATTCACTTATTTAAGAAATTCAATTCTATTAAAACTTTAATTGTCTGAAAAAGGTCAATTATTTTTAAATTAATTATATTGAACAATTCATTTACTTTAGGTACAATTAATTATTTTTTGTAAAACTTTTTTCAAATTCAATTATTTTGTGAATTTTAATTACATACATTGATTTAGAGATTTTTCGTCTATTATAAATCGTACTTTTTGATTACTATATCTATTTCTTTAAATTTTAACTTCAATTCGATACTTTTTTGAATTTTCTACATAAGAAAGATTTGTTTTAACAAACAATTTCTGAACCATTTTTAGTTTTATCAAGAATTTTAATAAATTTTACGCTTTACGGTATCAAAATCATGGTACTGAAGTTTTATTACTTTTTTTAAATCGATCAATAAAAAATATGTATTATAATTTCAATTTAAAAAAATAATATAAATTTCCTAATGTTCAATTTATAATTAATAATAATTAAATTAAAAAAATTTTCCCCAACATGCATTAATCAATTAGTTGAAATTAATTTAATTTTAGAAAACAATAGATTATTTATTTTAAAAAAATAAATTGTACCTAATAATTTCTTTAGATTTAAGAATGATCAAGTTTTTTTTAGTTATTTCTAATATATTATAAAAATATAAAATTATGCACAAGTATTTTGTAAATTTTTTGAATTAGTATTATTTTCGTTAATTTAAAAAAAAAAATTTCTAAATCTTCAAAATTAAATAAAGTAAACAATAAAAAAACGACTAATTTCATAGGAATTTGATAAACCTTTACAAAAATTGACTTTTACTTTAACCCACAAAAATTATAATTTTTCAAACATAATTAATGAATGCAGATAAATCTGCTAACTGAATCTATTTTTTTTTTATTATGCTATTAAGAAAACAGTTTTGCGAGTTAGGTATATCAAGATGATAATGTTTTTGAGAATTTTTAATTTGTATTCTAATTAGAAATTTTTTTTCAGTTTACATTACCAATGCATTCTCCCATTCCTGGATCTGAATTGACGAAAGAGCCATTCAGATGGGATCAAAGACTGTTTTCATTAGTATTGAGATTGTCAGGAACTCCCGCAATAGAGAGAGACACTGGTTTAGTGGCCAGTGATGCATCGCCTATTGATGCCATGTGTGAAGTAACTGGAGGTAAGAATTTCATCAAATAAGGTGCACTTTCAGTAACGTACTTATTTTTTTACTAAATTTTTTACTGAAAAATCTAATTGAAAAATGTATATGAATATATAAAAATTTTTACTAAAAATGAATGCATCTTATTTTGTCAGCTAACAAAACTAAATGAACATTTCAGGACGTTCTTATTGCATAACATCTCACAGGATGATGATGCAGTGTATAGATTCTTTAGTTCAAAAAGTACAATCCGGAGTTGTGATAAATTTCGAGAAAATTGGCCCTGACCCACCGCCATTGACAAATGAAGTTCAACATTTGGATGACGATGAAAATGATGAGGAAAATAATCCATTGAACGGTCCACGAAGTCAGTACCCTGGCAGTATTACAACACCTGGCAACAGTGCTTGGCATTCCTGTAGAAGATTAATTTATGTTCCAAGATCAGCCCAAAAAGGTTTTGCTGTTGGTTTTTGGCCAATTCCAGAGAGTTTTTGGCCTGACTTGAGCGCCAATTCACTACCACCAAGATCGGCTCATCCCAATGTTAAATTTACATGCACAAGTCAAGAACCAATGGTAATTGAAAATTTACCTTTCGACAAATATGAATTGGAGCCTAGTCCTCTTACACAATTTATCTTAGCCAGAAAACAGCCAACGATCTGTTGGCAAGTGTTCGTTGCTAATTCTTACAAGTCAAGCGAAGTTGGTCATCCGTTTGGTTATTTGAAAGCAAGTACAAACTTGACCTGCGTCAATCTTTTCGTTATGCCTTATAACTATCCTGTATTGTTGCCTTTATTGGAAGAACTTTTTAAAATTCACAGGCTTAAGCCTACGAACGAATGGAGGACGCAGTTTCAAAATTATATGAGAACAATGCCTACATACTATGCCGCTGTGAGTAATTATTTTTTAAATTTATTTTCTTGAAATATCTAGTTTTCAATTCTGACTTATTTTTTTCAATTTGATTACAGTCATTGAGAAGAGCGCTCACAAGAATGGGTGCACCGGCACCGTTAGCGCAGACCTTAATTCCTGATAATATGGATAATTCCTTAAGCTACAGTGTCTTAAACTATTTGAAGCGGCTGAAGAATCAGGCGAAAATTGAATTTGATCGTCTTTGTAATGAAGTCATATCCAAACAGGTGGCTAACGCTAGTTTAAATAAAAATATAGTCAACGGAAATACTACTGCGGTGACGGAGGGCGTTAGGGTCATTCCTAGAACACCTTTAAAAAAAGACTTGGTGAGTTTTTCTTCAAACTATTTTTTATTCAGTATAAAGTATTTATTAAATTAAATATATCATGTCTTGGATTATACGACTTTTCAATCATTTTAATGAAATTCTTCTTAAATTAGTCAAAACGGAAACCTTTACTGTGTTAAAATGGTAAAATTTCCAAAAATTTGAGTTTATGTGGAGAAATTAATTGAAATTAAAGATAAGTTCTTATATAGCGTTAACAGATATTTCGATTCTATCATGAAAAATATGAAATATTTTTAGAAATTAATTTATTTGCATGACTTTAATTTACCTAATGATACTTTTTTAAGGAAATATATATTTATTTTGTATCGTAAAAATTTTGATCAATTTCTTAATGTTAAAATTTGTAGTCAGCAAATATTTATGTAACAAAACAATAAATTCCTATAAAACGTTTCGGATCGGTACCGACCCATCTTTAGGACTATAATAAATTTAAAAATTATAACAATTCTTTTGAAAGTTTACAATATTTTGAGATTACGTTTAAAATTTAAAACAAAATTAATTTTCATACCACATTAGGTTATTTATAGTATAATATTTATTAACTAATTAAATTTAATTAAAATAAAAAAGTCGCCTTTTCTACTTTTTTTCGCTTTAAAGTCAATCCGAGGCCTGATATCTATTAAATTAAATATATATTGATAGATAAATATTATTAATTTATATTATTTTAATAATAGGTATCGCATCCTCTACTCCAAGACAAATTCATTGGACTGCGAGATCAACTCAACGAGTTTGGTGGATTCGTGGTGGGATTAGTGCGAAATCAACAGCAACAAAGAGGAGCTCAAAGTTACAGAAATGCCTTTGATGTACCGAGAAAATCACTTCTTGATCAAGTAATTAGAATGAGGTCGAATTTTTTGCAACCAGGATTATTACATACAAAATTATTAGACGACGATTATGTTCATTCTATGCCTGTCGCGCAAATGGGCAATTATCAAGAATATTTGAAACGAATGACACCTCCATTGAGAGAAATAGAAAGTGTACCAGTCAGACAACACATGTTTGGTGAGTCATTTTTTATAAATAAATTAATAAAAAGACTTATATTATGTATTTATAATTGCGTATAATGCAAATTTATACATAGGATAAGGTATAAATAATTTAAAAGTAATTAAATTTTGACTGACAAATTATTATTGGATGAAATGAAATAATCTGGGAAAATATTTTATTGGATAATTTTGTTTTTATATGTGGGTCATTCACCAAAAAAACTACTTTTGTAGTATATTTTAATAATTATTACATAAAAAAAACAAATATTATTGATTTATTTTTTGATACAGAATGCAATATTTTCTAATAAAATTTGTACCTAGTTAAAAAGTATTAAAGAAATTAAAATTTTCCAATTTTACTTATTGATGGGTTTTAATGGGTTTTGCTGCGGAACACCGTTAACATGAGAATGGATAAGCATAAAAAATCGAAAACGAATGTTTTGTATATATAAACGTGAATTCAAACATGAATTTAATTAAGACATCTTTTCTATTTCTGGCAATGAATCTGTTTACAAGGTAAACCTTTAAAGAGAAAAAAAAGATAAAAAAATTTAAACAAACATTCTTAAAATTTTTTTCTATTCAACTTTAAAAAAAATATAATTTATTGTTTGAATTTTGCATTTTATCGATCAGTCTCTGTTAGTACAAGTGTACTTAAACTCATTAATTGTATAAGTTTTCCACGAGTTCGTCGACCCGTGATTTTTCTTATTTAGTTATTTTCTTGTAAAATTGTTGACTTTACTTTAGTTTGACAGTCAAATTTGTATGGATAATAGTGTAAATAATAATAATAATAATAATAATAATAATAATAATAATAATAAACATTAAATACCTAATTCTTTGTCAAAGAAAAATAAAAAATATTTTTTTAAAGCTATAAATTAGCATGATCAAGTTACGGACAAAACAAACAATTAATTTTTTTCTGTTTTAATTTATGAAAAGGAGGATTTTGGAAGAATTACACATAAGTTAATTCATTAAATTCAAATAAAAATATTATTTTTAAGTGCTGAAAAAAAATGAAAAATGCATATATGTATCATTTTCAGATGTGTTTTGTTTTATTTTATATGGGCTAAACATTTTTAAATTGTCTAATCAACGCGACAAGAAGACGTGGAACGTTCTATAGGCAAAAGGTCAAAATCGAAGTTTTAATTGTTTAGTTACAACATAAAATTGAATGGTGAATTTCTAAAAGGGCTGAACTCGAAAAAGCGTAAGTGTCATTTTCGCATAACAATTGATAGTGAAAATGACTCTTAGCCTTTTTAGAGTTGAACCCTTTTCGAAATTCACCATTCAATTATAATCTTCATATGCTAATTACTCTACAAGAGGGTTTATTTAGATATTTTTTTTACATTAAAAAAATTGCAATTAAAATTTTTTTTAATTAAATTCAAAATTTCTTTTAAAAAAACTGTTTCAAATTTAACAAATTTTAAGTCTAATCCGGTCGTGGGCAAACAACATTTTTATTTTTGAATTTTTTTTAAAAAATACCTCCTTTTTTTATACTACGTACATTTATGTATTTTGATTCACTATTTAATTTGATTTTTATCGTGAAAACCATAAAAAAAAGTCCTAAAATTGGTGTTTTTTTCGTTTATTGGGTAAAATATGCTAAATTAAGAAAAAACTTAGACAAAAGTTTTTTTTAAAGTACGTTTAAAAATACACATTTTGAAAAAAAAACTTTTAAAATTGATGTTTTTTAAGGAAGTCATGAGTATTCAAAAATGAAAAATCATTAAAATTCTGAAATTTTGAAAAATTGATAAATCTCGTAAACGGCTTGCTAAAAAAAAATTGAAAAAAAATTATGAAAGCTAGTCTCAATTAGTACTAAAAGAAAAAAATAAGATTCAAAATTTATCTTCTCCTTTATGATTTTTAACTGAAAAGTAAAACTGTTTACTTAATATTAAAAATTTTTTTATTATTTCCCAAATAACAATTTTTAAAAAATAAAAATCAAGAATTTTCTAAAAAAAATGTTGCTCCAAAACAGTTTTTCCTAAATTTAGCTACTAAACAATTGTAAAAAAAGACTTCAATTAATATTGAAATTTAATTGAATCGAATACTGAAATTTAAAAAAAAAAATTAAAAAAAAATAAAGACAGAAATTAAAGACTAAATTTCTCGTTTATTAGAATAGGGGAAAAAATGATGTAAATTGAGAAAAAAAAAAAGTTTTCTAGATATTGTACTCAAGTGTTTAATATTTGTTTTCTCATTGCAGGCAATCCTTTCAAGATAGACAAAAGGATGATGGTAGACGAGGCGGATATAGATATGGTGGGTGCAACATCTTCAGCGTCGAAAGGAGGAATGAAACGAGCTTTGACACCATCCGAAGGTGGAGTTTCACCAGCTTTAAGGCCACCGCCAAACAAAAGGAAACCAGGACCTATTCCCAAAGATGTAACTGTAAAACGTCCATCCAAATCCCCATCAAGTTCTGCATCAAATTCGCCAATACCTTGGCACGAAGATGTCAAACCCCCGAATTTAATTTTACCCAATTCAAGTGTAATAAACAACGCGAATTCCGATATATCTAGTGCGCTTAGTTCACCGTATCCGAGTTCTCCGGAAAAATTAGTGAATGGTATTTCGGAAATATTAATGACACCAATTTTTGAACCAATTTCGGTGGAACCATTGACTAATCATTCAGATATACCGCCAATATTAACACCAATAGTAAATAATGTCGATTCTATAAAACATGAAGTGAAAACTGAAAGGACCGAAAATGTCGATATAATGGAGTGCATTAAATTGACGGTTAATGATTGTGTTGTTGATAATCAAAACAGTGTGATAGTTAAATGTGTGACTGATGAACCATTGTTGACTAATCATGTGGAAGAAAAACGAGAAAAGGAGAAAATAGAAAAGGAACAACGGCCATTAACGAAGAAGGAAATTGAAGATATTAGAAAACATAATTTATCCGTCAGAGAACTTGTCTATAAGGAAGTCCGAAGAAAGGGAACAAGTAAGTAATTTGAAATTTTTATTTTGTTCTTTATTATTTTTGCAAAATAAATAATTTTCTGTTTTTTCTCCTCTTCTTCGTGTTGCGTGAACTTAAACTTTAGCTTTTCGATTTGGTGCAAAACACAAATGCACTGAGAGAAACAATTAGTTAGAGTTACTAATACATACAAGGTGTCCAGCGGATCTTGAAATCCTTGAAAAGTCTTTCAATTTTTTTTTTAACCTCGAAAAGTCGAAAACCCTAGATATTCCTTGAATTTCATAAACAAAAATAATTTTTTACACTGATAATCTGATTGTTAATATAGAACTAACAAATCTGGTTTGTTGAAGCAAAAAAAAAATTTAATTAATTAAAATTTTTTTTTTTTTAAATTCCTAACATTTTTTTATTTTTACAAACGGAACAAAGATCTCGATTTTTTACCATAAATTCAAATTTTTCAGAACTTGAAAATTTTTTCGATTTTTTTTCAATTAAATTAAAAATTATTAAAAATTTTTGTTTTAAAGCGATTTTCATTTTTCCTTGAGATTCATAAATTTTATATATTTATTTACTTTTACAAACTAATCATGAATATTTAATTTTTCTTCAACAATTTCTCCTTTTATTCTGAAAATTTATAAAATTCTCGATTTTCCCTTTTTTACACTATACATATTTCCTTAAATTAAATTTATTTTCATTTTTCATAAAATTTTCATGTTTTTTTTTTTATTCTTTTTTAAATTATTCTTTAAATTCTCCTAATTGGAATGCCAAAAATTATCTATTTTTCTTTTAACTTTTTTGATTTTTTTATTTTCTAAAATTTTTAATTTGCTTTCATTTTTCTAAAATTCTCGTTTTTTAAAACATTTTTTCCCCATATTTATTTTTATTTTTTGAAAATCCTAAAATCTATTTATTTAATATTACAAACTGGTCTAAAATTCTCAATTTTCCTGACAAATACTCCTTTTAATTTGTGAATTTCTAAAATTCTCCATTTTTCTTTCAAAGTTTGTCTTGTATTTTCTTAAATTTTACATTTTCCTTTCTCAAATTGTCGTTTTTTTTTGTTTTTTTGTTTCTCAATGTTTTCCTCAAACTGTTGGTGTTTTAAATTTACCCTTTAAATCCTCCTGTTATTTTAGAAATTTTTAAAATTTCTTTATCATTTAGTTTTTCAATTCTTAAAATGTTAAATGCAAACTAAATTGTTTAAACAAGTTTAAAAATATATAAAACTTTTAGTAATAATCAATTTTTTATTATTAATAATTACGTCAATGAAATTCACAACGTTTACGATCAACGATTTAGAAAAAAAAATATCTCTCTGTGCAAATTATGATATATTTTTTTTTGTCTAAAAAAAAATGTTGCAACGTTTCTCGATCAATAATTTTTAAAATAAAAAGTAGGCAAAAAATTTATTATTATTATTATTATCAAAGGATATAATATAGGACAATTGAAGCTTCGGATCTTAAAAGAGCACTTAAAATGTTGTTAATCTTTTTTTCTGCCAACAGTAAATTAACAATCCCTTACTACACTCAGAAATAAGATTTCTTTGAAACAAAGAAATCTTTTTTTAAAATCACTTTTTGAATCAAAGATGAAAGTTGTTTGAATTAAAAAAAAGATTTCTTTGCTTTTACGAAAAAAAAAGATTTTTTAAGTGTTTTGAATTAAAGAAATTTTTTCTTTGAATGATATATTTAACCGAGAGAAAAATTTTTTTGATCGGATTTTTTGTCTAAACAGTTTTATATAGCTAAATTTTGTTTTAGATTTTCTTACAGTGAGTGATATAAAGAAGTTTGTGAATTGTTCGTGTTTTTGGGATTTACGAGTGATTTGTGAAATATGAAAATAGTGACTCGCAGTGTATTGATTGTTTTCTTCGTAACCAAAATTCTGTCATGAAGTTTTGTTCAGTGTTTTACATGTAACCTCACTTGTAAATTCCGTATTAAATTATATTTTAATTAAAATACGAACGTATATACAATCTCAAAATGAAATAAATATATTTTCCATTTAAAGAAATTTGTGCATTAAAATAAAAATTTATTTATTTGATTCAAATAAAATTTCGTAAAATTAAAGAAATGTTTCTCTGAGGCAACAAAAAAAAAAGAAGTAAAGAAATAATTTCTTTAAATCAAAGAAATTTTTCTATGACCCTATAACAATGCACAAATTTTTTTGATTCAAAGAAACATTCTTTGAAGTAAAGAATCTTTTTTCTGGGTGTAATTATCAGTTAAATTCATTATTAGGTTATGTCTAAATTACTGAAATTTCAGTAAACATTCTGTTAACTAGTTCAATTAGTCAATTTTTACTATTTTTTCAATTATTTTTTAAGTAATAGTCTTTTAACAAATTAAAATTTAGAGTTACATTTTGTGCTTCTTTCAGCTTTAGCAATAATATATAAATTTTTTTTTTTGTATTATATTGCAAATTTATGTGTGTATACCGGAAATCCGTTCAAAGCCGAAAGGCATAAATTATGAATAATAAAATAAATATAATTTTTTTTTGTAAAAGTCTTTCAGCTTTTCAATGGTGGTTTTCATATGTTAATCTACCATTTTTTCTGCGAAAGATGTTCTAACAAGTGAAAGTGCAACACTTCTCAGAGGACTACATTTTTTGCGCGCCGATAATAGTGTGTAGTTGAAGTGCACAGTGCATTGGCCTATGATTAAACATTTTTTAAATTACATAATATTATTTTCTATTTGAACCTAAATTTTTATCTATTTTAATCAAAACTTCTTTTCAAAGTAATTTGTTTTTATAACCGGAAAAACGAATTAAAATTTAATAATTTTTATAAAATTATGTTACTCTAAACCAAAAAAATCACTAACAAATCTCACATAACATAAAATCATTTTATAAAGCTTAATTCGGATAAAACTCATTTGACATAAAATCCACTTGCTATAAAGAACTTGAGATATCAAATGAAAAAATATATAATTTTTTGGTATTTAATTTATTTAAAAATTTGAAAATGGTTTCGAGGACTAAATTTTTTTTTAATTATATTTTTCTTTGCGTTAGAAACATATTTCAAAATCATTTTTTAATTTAAAATTATTTTGCAGTCATCATCCCTCTAAACATTTTATATTTTTTTTAGTCAGTGAACAATTGTAATTTTTATAAACAATAGCTTATTTCACTCTTTGAAAAATTCTCTACAATTTGTTAATTTTTGTTAAATAATATTTTTGGTTTAAAAATTATAAAAAAGAAAAATTTTATTTTCTCCATAATTTTTGAACAAAAATTCAATAATAAAAATTGATAAAAGTGTAAAAAAAATAAATAAACGAGATAAATAAGATAAAAAAAACTTATATTAATTTTACATAAAAAAAACATTTTTTCTGTTATAGATTACGCCACGTTATTTTCACATTTGTACCAAATCCAAGGTACTTTAGACATTCGGCTCGCATTTGTCAAAGACATTGTTAAAGAATCTCTTCGTTTCAAAAGACGGAATTTAGCATCATTATTAGAAGACTATTTGAAAACCGTTGAAGAAGACGGCTGGGTAATGAACCACAAGACGAATCACAATGGTGCCACGAGAATAAGTTAAGGCTATATTCGCAAATTTGGTGGGGCATTGATGGAACGCAAATAAACTTGGAAGATTACTTGCTCCGCTAGAAGATTATTACATCAAAAGAAACAAAAATCTACATCCTCGTAAGATTGACAGAAAATTTTCGCGAAATAATTTTTTTTTGTAAATTTGTAATTAACTGACCAGTGAAATTAATTTATTTAATTATTAAAATTCTTTAAAACAAATCATTGGTACAGAACAAAATTTTTTTGATTTTATATATATATATATATATATAAAGTTACTTAATTCTATTTGTACAGCGAGTATTTGATTGGGACAAAGGGCTTTGTTGAAAATTTATAATATTATTAATCAGTATGAAAACAATGGCCGTTGTGAACGACCGCGAAGTTCATATCAAATTTAAAAATTATATCAAGCTACATTAACTGTATTTTTACGCGTTTATCAATTCCTTATTTATTTTTACGAGCATAATTTTTTGTGATGTAAGCATCGGTTAAATTTTAAGTTTTATTGCTTTAGGAAATATTCTTTTTTTTTTTTTTAACTATTCACCCATGTACATTCTGTTATATATATGTATATATATATACCGTAAGAAAATCATCATATCAGTTATAGAAAACATGTTATGAGATTGTTATACTTGCACTATAATTGAAATGATGGTACTTATTCAGTATATATACCTAAATATGTGGGCGATTCTATCCAAAAAGGGTATTTTGCAAATTATAATATTTTATGAAAAAAATTGAACTTCAAAGAACGATTATATTACTAGTCCTATTTCTGTAGAATGCTGTACAATACGTGATTATTATAATGTTTAAGAAAAATTATTGCTTTAAAAATATGATTTTTTTTCTTAAATTTGCTATTACCTGATTTCTTTCTATTATTTAATTTGGATCTTAACTTTATATTTTACTTATTACATTTGATTCATAAAAAGATAATGAAAAATATTTTTATTTTTATTATTATCCGAGAATTAAATTAGTTTTATGCACTAATTTTATATTCCACTTTGTAGCCTTGTTACAAATGTTAGTGGTAAATGTAAATAAACATCTTTATAGTGATATAAAAATTTCAATATTCTCTATAGAGTGAAGGGAAAGTGATATTTTCATTAACCATTTCACTGGCGGGACGTTCCAATTGGCGTTCCACGCTGTCTGGCCCAGACTGTCGAAAACACCAAAATGACATTCCTACTTATCAATTTTTTAAAAGTTTACGTTTTAATTACCACAAATTAATTTTTCTATATTTTCGACATCAGGAAACAAGAATATGACAATAAAAATTTGGTTTTTTTGAGTTTATCAATGTTTTTTTGGACATTGAAATCGGCAATTTTTAATACTTTTCAACGAATGGCGTTCCACTTTAACTCAATAATTTTTATTCAATAAAACTCGGATTTTCTATTGAAAAATGATATTAATATGCCTTCTAATTTGTAAAATATAATAATAATTATTATTATTAATTTATATTAAGTATGAACGCCATTTTGATGTTTTTGCCAGTCTAGGCCAGGCAACGTGGAATATAAAAAAGATAAAAAAAAAAACTAACAGTCAATTTTTTTTTATGTATTTTCTATTATTTTAGCAAAATTTTGTACCAAACACCACTGATTTTCCATTTTCAATATTATTTATATCAATATTTCAATATTGAGATGTTTATTTGCTTTGTAAATTAGCTTTGAGTGGAGTGTAAAACAATGCAAAAATCTAATTTCATTCATAGAAAAAAAGTAAATAGAATTTTGCATTAGTCTTTATCTTATTATCAATAAATACAAAATAAAAGAATAAATTTATATAATCTTGGTCAAATATGTCAAGATTATACTATCAAAAAAAAATGATTTAATGATGAGAAATAATTCTTGTTTTAATAAATTCGTGCCGTGAATAGTTATGAAATGAAATTTTTACATTTATGAATTAAAAACTTTTATTTTTTTTCAAGTGGTCTAAATGTATAAAGTATAAATATGATAGGCATTATTTAAAAAAAATTTATTTATTTGATAGTAAAAAAGCTGTAATAAAGTTAGTTGCCTCTTTTGGCAGAATGCCCCATATATATGTATATATTTAGGTGGTTCAAATTGAATGGATCAGTTTTTTTTCTGTCAATGTTAGATTTTCATTCAAATTTTTTTTACTGTAATGTTTTTTTCGAAATCTATTTGAAGAATAGAAAAAATGTATTTTTTGATTTTTTGGTTTGATGAAAAATGATAAAAGTTATAATTTTTTTTTTTAAATTTAACGTCAGAAGCAGAGTATTTTTCTAAATTAATATAGAAAAGCATAAATTCTAAACCATGAAGTATAAATATATTTATAAGATTTTTAAAGATTATTTTAAAATAATTGTCTTCATAAACAGATTTCATTGCGATCTGAAGAAAGGGACCTTAGAAGCAAAAAATTATAGGTTAAGTTTTGAAATTTTTAAGTGAGAATAAACAAAGACGTTTAACTCGTAATGCAAACAAATTATATTTATATCTTCATTTCATCCAAAATATTATAAAATTAAATTTATATTTATATAATAATTTTATAATTATATTAAATTAATATTATATTAAATATAATATTTTATAATTTATATTTTTATTATTAAATATTATAAAAAAAAAATTATATTTTCCTTTCAAGAATTAGAAATTTTTTTTTAATTATATTTTTTGGAAGAAAACATATCATTTTTTAAGAAAAAAAATTTCTTATTTAAAAAAATTGTTTATTTACACACATTTTTAGGTAATCAAACTTTTTTCTCATTTCGCTATTACAAATTTTTTTAAAAATGGTGCAATTTCCATAAAATAAAGCGAATTTTTTGTTAAACAAATAATCATATTTTTGAATCGGTGAATTTTTTTGAAATTCTCTTCGATGAAGTTGTTTATGCAGAAAATGAGTCATAGTAAACAAAAATTGCATCATTTTAAAAAAAAAATTTGTAATAGCGATATGAGGAACAGTTTGATTATACCTAAAAATGTGTGTAAATAAACAATTTTTTAAAATAAATACAATTTCATTTGTATTTGTATTACCGTGGTTGTCCTAGTTTTAATATATATGTAATATTATTTTTTGTATTAGTATATGGTAAAGATAACTATTTTTCAAAATTACTTTGCTTCAGACGTTAAATTAAAAAAAATATCATAACTTCTATAATTTTTATCAAATTAAAAAATAGATATTTTCTTATTTTTTTTATAAAGATTTCGAAAAAAATTTCCAGTCAACAAAAATTTTTTAATTAAAATTTTACGTGGAATGTCCCAAGCAAAATAGTAATCTATAGATAATTCTAAGTAAAATTTTTGAAGAGAATTAGTTCTAATTGTAAGTCAGATTTATGGATCCCCTGAAATTTTCAAAATTAGATATTTTCCTTTTAAAAAAAATGTATATTACTTTCAATAAAATCATCTTAAAATTCTGTAAAATTATAGTACTTTTTTCAGGCTTATTATCAAATTCTCAGGCTTTTTGGAAATGTATTTCTACCACTTTTTAGAATCATTGTTAATATTTTTTTTAGAGTATAAATATAAGGTATTATTACTTACTAAATGAAAAAGCTTAAAATAGATTCTTAAGTAATAAATTATCATTTTTCTTTGATTTTGTTTTATGAAAGCATATCTTTTCTTTACACCTCACTAAAATGCATGCAATTAACAATAAATTTTGTTAAAAAAATTGAAAATTTTAAAACTGAATTTCCGAGATACTTAATATACATATATGAATTTTTTGAGACGCATATTCATGTTCTGAAATGAGATTTTCTAAATTCAATATGGCGGGATATTTTTTAGAAATCGTTTAGATTCGCTTGAAACTTGTTATTTGTAGATTTTTTATGTGGCTGAAACAAATTGTGACATCAGATTTGCAAAATTCAAAAATGTTGAATCAAATATAGTGAACAAAATTTCAAAAATCGATTGGATTCGCTTGGAAATTTGTTACTTGGGGATTTTTGATTCTGAATTTGAATTCAAATTTTTTAAATTCAATCGAATTTGCAAAAAACTTGTCAGGCGGAGGTTTTTGATATTATACTAAAATAGATTTACAAAATTCAAAATAGCGGATTCAATGTTGTCCGAAATATAAAGAGAAATAGTTTTCGGTATATCTGATCAATTTTTAATACTCATATGCACAACTTTCATGATTTTAAAAACTGAATATTGAAACAATATTTTTCATTTAATCTTAGTAAATTTCCAATTTCAAACTCTGGTTTTAAGACAAGAAAATTTAATTAGTTTCTCAAGAAAACTTATTTAAAAATAAAAATTTCATTTTTTCAAGAAAAAATTTGGTTCTCAAAAGGGTTAATCGATTCAGAAAACTTGCAAATAACACGTTTTAAGCTAATTTTACAGATTTTTGAAAAATCGTTTGCCATATTTTGAATTTCGAAAATCTGATTTTTGATTTGGAATTAGTGACCCAAAAAATCGTTTCATAATAAATGAAAAAATAATATATATTTATTAAGGAAAATATTTATTTTTAAAAATTTCAGGGACTCCAAATCCGACTTACAATTAGAGCTATGGATCAAAATCATATAGATTAATTTTTTTGCGAATTAATAATTCGCGTTATCGAAACTGCATTCAATAAAAAATGTAATTAACAAATTTTAAAGAGAATTTCAAAAGTTTTAAAAAAGGAGTGACTTTTTTTACAAAAAAAAATTTTATTTTCATTTAATTCCTTGTATTTAAAAACATGTCTCTTTCGATATCGTCACAAAAAATCATTAAAGGAGTTGAAAATTAAATTTTAATTAATAAAATTATAAATTATTTTGATTCTTTGACATTTTGTCAAATACTAAGCAAATTTTTCAAATACATTAAAATTATTTTACATAAAGTCACTATTTTGAATTTTATGAAACTCTCATTGAAATCTTTTTTTTGACATTTTTTATTTAATTTAGTTTTAATAAAATAATTTTTTTTAAATTCTGTTTGAAATAGAATTCCCCTATATTTATGAATAGGTATGAATTGAGGGTTAAAAGTATTAGTATATTTGGATGAATTTTCTGAGAACACATTTTTTATAATAACAGGTCTCTAAAGTCGATTTAAATTCTGAAATTTTCATTTCAATTATCGCTGAATGAAAAAAAGTTTTATTTGAAATTTGATAATGGGCTATAACATATGATGATACTCTTGCGGTAATCATATACACATATATATTGAATG